GTTTTCTTTTTTCATTTTACAAGTCTTGATATTGGAGGTCAAATTTTTGTTTGTTCTGGTCTTCTACTTATGAAAGCTTGAAATCCTTCTATTTCATTAAATGACTATTTTTTTCCTTTGATGTATTATGCTTAATTTGCTAGGTAAGTGATTCTTGGTTGTAATCCTAGCTCTTTCGCCTTTCCATGACCTCTGATTGTTTAATGTCTCAGCTGCCAAGTCCTGTGCAATTCTGATTGTGGTTCCCTCTTATTTGAATTTTTTCTTTCTGTCCACTTGTAGTATATTTTCCTTGACTTGACCAAATTTCCTGAAATTTGTCTATAATGTTCTTTGAAGTTTTTATTTTGGGATCTCTTTCCTGAGGCGATAGGTGGATTCTTTCAATGCCTATTTTGCCCTTTGGTTCCAGGACATCAGGGCAGTTTTCCTTGATAATTTCTTGAAAGATGCTGTCCAAGTCCTTGTTTTGATTATGGCTTTCAGGTAGTCCAGTGATGCTGATATTGTCTCTCTTGGATCTGTATTCAAGTCAGCTGTTTCTCCTGAGAGGTATTTTATATTTTCTTCCATTTGGTCATTATTTTAACGTGTTTGATTGATTTTTGATGTCTCAGAGCCATTAACTTCCACTTACTCAATTCTAACTTTTCAGGTGTTATTTTCCTTTATTAACTTTTATACTTTCTTTTTCATTTGGCCAGTTGTATTCTTTAAGAAGTTGTTTTCTTCAATGGATTTTTGTATCTCCTTTTCCAGTTGGCCAGTTCTACTTTTTAAAGTTTTCCAAGCTTTTCACTCTTTTTTTCATAATTTTCTTGAATCACTCTCATTTCTTTTCCTATTTTTTCTTCTCCCTCTCTTATGTCTTCTAAGCTCCCTTTTGAGCTCTTAGATGAGTTCTTTCTGGGCTTGAGACCACTTTCCATTTTTCTTTTATTTTCTTTTTTTAAATTTTGTTACATTTTATATTTAGTATTTTATTTTCCCCCAGTTACATGTAAAAATAGTTTTTTACATTCATTTTTAAAACTTTGAGTTTTAAATTCTCTATCTTCCTCCCTCCTCACTCCAACCCCCCACCCTCCATTGAGAAGGTAAGCAATTCAATATAGGTTATACATGTATAGTCATGCAACATATACTTAATAGTCATGTTGTGAAAGAAAACAGACCAAAAAACCTCAAAAATAAAGTAAAATATAAAAAAAACCTATATTTTAATCGGTTTTCAGACCCCATCAGTACTTTCTCTGGGGATGGTTAGCGTTTTTCATCGTAAGTCCTTCAGAGGTGTCTTGGATAGCTGTATTGCTGAGAATAGCTAAGTCATTTGCAGCTGATCATCTTACAATATTGCTGTTACTTTGTACACAGTACATTTCACTTTGCATCAGCCCATGCAAGTTTTTCCAGGTTTTTCTGAGAGCTTCTTGCTCATCGTTTCTAATATTATTCATTTTTTGGGTGAGGCAGTTGGAGTTAAGTGACTTGCCCAGAGTCACACAGCTAGTGTTATGTGTCTGAGGCTGGATTTGAACGCAGGTGCTCCTGACTCCAAGGCGGAGCTGTATCCACTGCACCACCTAGCTGCCCCCCTGTTTACCTTTTTATGCTTCTCTTGAGTCTTGTGTTTGAAAGTCAGATTTTCTGTTCAGCGCTGGTCTTCTCATCAAGAATGCTTAAAAATCAACAATCCCATTGAATTTTCATTTTTTCCCTTGAAGGATTACACTCAGTTTTGCTGTGGAGGTGATTCTTGGTTGTAATCCTAGCTCCTTTGCCCTCCAGATTATCATATATCAAATCCCTTTAATGGAGAAGCTGCAAAATCTTGTGTTATCCTGACTGTGGCTCCACCATAGTGGATTATTTTTTTCTGGCTTCTTACAATATTTTCTCCTTGATCTGGGAACTCTGGAATTTGGCTATAACATTCCTGGGATTTTCATTTTGGGATTTCTTTCAGGAAGTGATCAGAGATTCTTTCTATTTTACCCTCTGGTTCTAGAATAAGAGGGCAGTTTTCCTTGATAATTTCTTGAAAGATGATGTCTAGACTCTTTTTTTGATCATGGCTTTCAGGTAGTCCAATAATTTTTGTGGGCCGAGAGCTCCAGAATCTGCCACTGCTGCTGCTGCTGATTGTTCAGTCAGTCCCAAAGCCTACTCCTGGTTTTTCTGGGGTCAGGGCTGTGCTGAGGTTGGGGCTAAACTGCACTCCTCTCTCAGCCTGGTGTAACAGACCTTTCCTTTGGACCTTCCAGGTTGTCTTGGACTGAAATTTGTTTCACTCTGTCTTTTTGTGGGTTCTGCTGCTCTAGAATTTGTTTAGAGTCATTTTTTAAAGTATTTGGAGAGCTCAGGAGAGTTCCTGCCTTTACTCCACCATCTTGGCTCGGCCTCTGAGGTATTGTTTTCTTTTGCAAATTTTGTACCTCTTTTACCAAGCTATTAATTCTCTTTTTGTAATTTTCTTGCATTGCTTATTTATTTTCCCAAGTTTTCCCCTACCACTTTCATCTGATTTATTTTATTTTTTCCACTTAATAGTATCTTACTTTTTCCATTTACATGTAAAGATAGTTTTCAGTATTCACTTTTATAAGATTTTGAGTTCCAGAATTTTCCTCCCTTTCTCCTTCTCTCTCCTCCCCCCTCCACAAGACAGCAAGCAATCTAACATAAATTATACATGTACAATCATATTAAAAGTATTACATTAGTCATGTTGTCTCATCTGATTTTTAAAGAGTTTTTTGTTTTTGTTTTTGTTTTTTTTTGCTCTTTCTTTAGCTCTTCCTGGAATTCTGTTTTGGCTTGAATGCTATCTGCATTATTTTCCTTTGAGTCTTTGCTTGTAGCTGTTTTCATGTTGTTGTCTTTCTGTGAGTCTGTCTTGATCTTTCCTGTCACTGATACCTCTTTATGGTCTGATTCTTTTTTTGTTTTTGGTTGCTTACTCATGTTTCTATCCTATTTCTCAATTTTGAGCTTTATGTTAAAGTTGAATTCTGTTCACCGTAGGGGTGCAGGGCACTCTCCCAAAGTTATGGCTTTGTTGCCCTACTGTTTTCATATTTAATCCCAGGAGTCTTTAAGTTTGTGGTTCTTTCATGGTGGCATCATGGGGGAAGCGTGGTCCCTAGTCTCCTTGTAAGGGCTCTGGTATACCCAAGTAGGGGACCTGCTCGTTTTGGACTGCAAGTACTAGCACTCCTCTCTGTCCTGGAACTGCCAGTTGGTACTGGCTATGAACATTAGAGTTGACAAGCAGTGCCCTGTCTTATGCCAAATGCCAGCAGTGTTCCCTCATAATTTCTTTATCACCAAGTTTAAGTGGCTGCTGTTATTCCCACCACATGTGTCCTAGGCTAATCTTGTCCCCATTCCAGTGTAATGAATATCTCCTTCTGACCTCCTAAGTTTTATTTGACAGGAGAACTGTCTTACTCTTACTTTTTGCTGCCTATGCTGTTTCAGAATTTGATTTGTTTTGTTATTTTAAAAATTTTTGAAGGGGAATGTTGGATGGATTAGTCTGGAATGATGAGTCTACTCTGCCACCTTGGCTTTGGCGCTTTTCTTCACAGCCTTCTTTACTCTGCATTTTATCTTTCTTAAAATAAGGTTATAAAAAGATAAGATTTGCAGTTAAGTAAAACCTATCTTACTTGTGGAATGGTTAGAGAGCTGGTCTCCAAGCAAGGAAGACCTGGGAGTTCTGCTTTTGACACATTTTTGTTGCGTGGTTCTTGGTAAGTAACTTTTAATCTCTTAATGCGCTAAGCATCTCCACAGTGGTGGAGAGCTTTTCCTTACCTAGGAGTTTCCTTTACCAATGAAACCACAGGTCCAATACCTATTCCTAAGTAAATGAAATGTTTTAAATTATTCTCTTTGTTCGTAAGTAAATTAACTTGTTGTGTTGTGTGTAATAGGGTTTATTCAAATACACTAGTCTTTGGAGAATTAACTGGCAGTGTTGTGGCATGTGACAAGTTATTAATTTCTGCAAACTGAGTAGTTCCTTCGTACAGAGAATTAATAAAATTATAGATCGTTTGGTGTGTGAAGACAGAGTTAATACTATCATTGCCAGATATTTCTAAATCTGGCACAAACTCTATGGAAAGGATTAGAAGAGTATAGGTAAAAGTAGAATGAATTGACTCTTTGGGAAAAGATTTGGCTTTTTTTTTTTCTTTGTACGATACTGACACCACTGTATCTTTCATCAATTACCATTGTTTATCTTTCTTATTAAAGAACCCACTTCTTAACTGATTATGTGGATGTGTTGATACTGATTTAAAGAGAAGTCATCATCTACATACAAATCCATGAATAAAGCCTACTACATTTTCTCATTTTCAATATTAATGTGGCAATATCTTTGATGATGTTGCTCCATTATATTCAGTAACCCTTCATTTTTAAACCAAACTGTGGTTTAAACAAAAATCCATTATTTACTTCAAATGTTTGAAAATCAAAGGGCTTAATTCTGAAAATTATTGTTGACAACAATTTTTTTTAATGTTTTGAGATCCATTAAGAAAATGTTGGATGACAAAGCCTCATTTTCTTGCCATTTTCTCTGTTGAGTAAACATGTGTTTTAGATAGCTGGGCTGCCCTTGAGGAACTCCACTTTTCTTTAAAGTAGTTCATTCACTTTCCAGTCCACCTTCTAACATGTTCTCTGTTAATGACAGTTAAAATTTTTATTGGAAGTACTTCTTTGCTTATCTAAATCCTTTATTCTATTAACCTCTTATTTAATAGCATGTTTTAATTTCAGGATAGTAATGCAAAAAAGTTTGGTCAAGATGTTTTTGTTTTTGTTTTAATTTTTCTTGACTTAGTTTTGTGTAAAGAAAAACTTTTGACTCTAAGGGATTAGTTTCAAAATATTTTCATTTTTCTAACTGTACAAAATTATTGACTAATTCATGCTTTTATATAATTCTTAAAGTTTATATTTTCATTTCAATTTAGTTTCAGAAGAGCAGCTGACTGAATTTATTGAGAACAATGATTACATGTTTTTGCTGAATGCATTAAAGAGATTTAATCATGAAGAAGAAGTTGTTTTTCATGTTCTTCACAGTTTACATTCCCTAGCACTCCCATGTAAGTATCTGCAAGTAAATCATCTTTACCCACTTGAATCACTATAAATTAAAACATCTTTTCCAAGAGCTTTTTTGGAGATAATTTATAAATCAGACATCTGAATGTATTGATGTCAGGAAAAAAATCAACTATTGTTAATATCAAAATAACATCATTTCCTGAGACTTTGAAATTGAATATCCCTTTTCTTAAAAGAAGGTTGTGAAGAGTGAATGAATTTGGCAGATGGGCCACAATGTCAAGTGTAGCTAATGGGCCGATTTCAAATCTTGGTTCTCAATCAGTTTATACATCACTGGTTTCTCTTAGTTACCATTAATATTTTTCATTTTTTGTAGCACTAGTGTTTTAGTGAAGCTGTAAGCTTATTGTTATAATATATATATATATATACTTCCTCCATTACTGCTAATCACCACTCATAAATGCCTTTTTTTGTGTGCAATTCCGTCTATGTCTTTCCATACATTTTTGTAGGAGTTTAATTGGTTACATCGAAGGCCTCATTTTTAGATCTTTTAACATTGTGTGTTCAGTCACAGCATTTCGTCTGTATGTTTTGTTACCCTTGCTATCTTGCTATCAATACACGACTAGCTCACCTCCTTTTCCTTTTTATATCCCTTTGTGTGTCCATTGGTAATATAGTCTTTGTCTACATGTATCACTTGTCTCTTGGATTAACATGGAAAACCTTGAGATCATTGGCAGTATTTTTCAAATTTGTAAATGCTATCTGTAAATACTACTAATACATGAATATTTCACTGATCCATGATTTCATCAATGTGGATGCTTTTTCCATTGAAGAAGAAAACAATCTTTTTATACTCAATCAATGAGTACTTATTAAGCACCTACTATGTATCAGCACATAGCAGTAGGCAGAAGTATAAAGAATGAAATAATTCCTACTTGTAATGAATTTAAATTCTAATGGTGGAGACAAGTATGCATAGAAAGTTAATAAATATGCACATATACACATATAAAGGTAAGTAGGTAGATAGAAATAGTAGTTAAGTACAAATAAATAAATAGTTTGGAAGGGAGGTTACTAGTAATTGGGGGGATCAGGAACGGCTTCTTGAAAAGGGGTGTGCCTGAGCTGCATCTTAAAGGAAGAGAGAACGGGTTCCATGAGGTAGAGGTAAAGAGGAAGTGCGCATTCCAAGCAGATGGGATGGTCATTGCAAAGGCACTGACATCAGAAATAAATTATTGTGAATGAGGAACAAAGAGAAGGCTTGTTTCTCTAGATCACAGTGTGTGGAAAGAGGAGTAATGCCAAGTAAGGATGGAAAGGTAGGTTGGTGCCTGGTAATGTAGCACTTTAAAAGCTGTATCTTAGTAGATGTCTTTTTAGGCTGCTCTAGCTGAAAAAATTATTAGCTGGTGACTAGCATTCCATCGATTAGTCTTTTCAAAACTCAGTAGACTGTGGCTTAGCCAACAGAGACTGTTGCCAAATCATGTTACAAAGCATGTTTGTAAGTGGTGGAATATACCAGAGCTTGTGCCTTCACTATTATAATCTTCAAGAATCCAGGGTTTACCTCCATTCTATGATAGGGTAGAAGATTAGAACTATAGTGGAAGATTTATAGTATTTATAGTATAAGTATCCATGTATACATGTATATATGTGTAAATGTGATAGGTATGGCTTCATCAGTAAATTCTTGAGATGTGGGAATAAGCATTAATCTTAATTATGTAGAAAAAAAATGGACTTTGGGCTTTAGTAAATCAGAATACAGTCCTATACTTTAAAAAGTAAAATAAATTTAAAAAGTAAATTTGCTTTGGTAAATCTATTAAATTTTATTTTCATATGAAAATACACGTCCCTTCCCTTCCATCTCCCTGCCATCTACCAGTTCTCTCCACTTTCCCCTTCCTTGCATGAGAAAACAAGAAAAACAAAGCCTCCTATTATGAACAAGCAAAAAAAAATTCCTACATTGGCCATGTCAAAAAAAAAAATATATCATTCTGAGTCCATCACCTCTTCATCAGGGGATAGCTATAGCTTTTGAAAAAAGTGCTTTTTAGGAGCTGCTAGGTGGCACAGTGGATAGAGCATCAGCCCTGAATTCAGGAAGACCCGAGTTCAAATCTGCCCTCAGACATATAACTCTTATTAGCTGTGTGACCCTAGGCAAGTCCCTTAACCCCATTGCCTGACCGAAAAAAAGAAAAAAGTGCTTTTTAAATGAAGTACTTATTGTAGATTTTCAAGCTTTGCTTTTTGATTTCTCAGCCATAGGGAATTAAATACTTGAAAGTAGAGGTGGCTCAATAATGATAGGAAATGGTCATACTTCTAAAGATTATAAATTACTCGGTGCCATCACACTGAATGCACCCTTTTACCTTCCCTTGGCTATAGTTAGGTTGGACTTATTGGATGAAGTCTTAGGCATTGTGTCCCACCCACATCTAGCATAACACAAGAATTAAAATGGCTTGATTTGTAATGGAAAGGTCAAAGAAAACAACTCTCAGAAACCAGAATTTTGAACCATTTTAACTATTCTATTTCTGATCCTTGGCAATTACCTCCTCATTTTCTAAGTTATGTTCTCATTTTAAAATATGGTTGCTGCTAACATTTGTTAAAATCTCCATATCCTTTTTTGGGGAAAAGTGTTATTTAGTGCTGTCATTATAGCTTTCTAAATTTAGCTTTCAAATAAAATTTAGAATTTTTGGAAATATTTATCTCAGTAACTGTTACCAGCTTACTCATGCTCTAAAAGCAGTTGTACATCCTTAATCCCTTTTACTAACAAATCTTGTTCCTCTTCCTTATTCGTCAGGTTGGGTGGAAAGAGTGGTGAATTTAGAGTCAGAAGAACTAGGTTTCTCATTCTGACTCTCACCATATGTATGATGTTAGGCTAGTCACCTAATCTCTTGGCCTTAATTTCCTCATCTCTAAAATCAAAGGTTGGTCTAGGTGGCCCTTTGAATCCAGACCTTAATTTATTCATTCATGTTTTATACAAGAAGTCTGGGATAGTTATTTACCTTTAAGGTTAAGTATAATCCTTTTAAGAGCAGTCATAATTCATATACAATTAATGTGCTTAATAATGTAGCATTTTTAATTACTTTAGTCAGTAGAGTACTGTATCATGACAATCAGTGTTTGAAGTTGGGAAGCCTTAGATAAGTATGCATGAAGGAAAATATCCCCATATTAATGTATTGTAATTTTGATTTAGGCAGTAATGTGGAAGTCCTAATGAGTGGAAATGTCAGATGTTACAATATTGTGGTAGAAGCCATGAAAATGTTCTCTAGCAGTGAAAAAATTCAAGAAGTTGGTTGCTGTTTGTTACACAGGCTTACATTGGGTGAGTTATTTTTATTTAATTTTATCATTTCGTATTTCTGTTTAAATGTATTGCAAGTACAGTAACAATTTTTAGCCTCTGTACTTAGAACAGGTAGGTGGCAGGGCTCTGTACTCTGAGCAAAATGTAAGACTCCTTAGCTAAAATTTGGTCTAGTTAGCCAAATTTAGGACTAAGATTTTCCTTCTAGAGTTCTTGATTTTAAAAAAAGTGATACTATTAGTGATTTAATCTATTAAATGAGGTAATTATGCTTTTGAGTGTTTCATTATTTTCTCCTTTTCCTCTTTTCTAGTCTTCAAAGATACCTGAGGGTATAAATGTTCCTATTTATTTTCTTTGGGAAACTGAAAGACATTCTTTGTTTATATTCCAAATGTTGACGTTTGAGAAGTGGCACTATAATAATTTCATCACTCAGAAGATATGGGTCAAGTAGTATGATTGAATTTTTGCATAAATATTGGAAATTATCTCCTTTGGGGCAGTCAAGGAGAATGTGATATACTTCTTCCAATGATGTTGCTATTGCTAAAGACTTTCTTTGAGATCTTCTTTCTTTTGAATACCCAAAGTGGTGGCAGATCTTATTTTGAAGTAAAATCTGGTATTTCGTAAATAGACCAAAAACATTCAGTGCTAAGTTGTTTTTCTTTTTTTTTTTTTTAAAGGATTAAGTGTGTTTAAAAAAAATTTTTTTTCTGGTTATAATAGAACGAATACTGGACAGTCAGAAAGCCTGAGTTCTAGTTCTAGTTCTACTTCTGACACTAGCCCTGTGACCAGGGCAAATATTTAAATTCTCTTTTCCAATTAGATAATCTCTAAAAAATCTTCCAGTTCTAAGATTCTGTAATCTGTTTTGGAAAGGAAACACAGCAATCCCGGACTGTAAAGTAATGAGACTATAGCTACTTACTGTGGTTCACAGATTAACTCTGAAAATATATCCAAATGAAAAGCTCTAAAATGTTTTGTATGATGGCAGTATTAAAGTTGGGTAGCTAAATGATGCGGCAGAGAGAGCACCATGCCTGGAGTCAGAAAGACCTGAATTCAAATCTGGCCTCAGACACTTACTAGCTGTTAACCCTGGGCAATTCACTTAACCCTGTTTGCCTCAGTTTCCTCATCTGTAAAATGAACTGGAGAAGAAAATGGCAAATCACTCCATTATCTTTGCCAAGAAGATCCTATATGGGGTCACGAAGACTGAAATGACTGAAAAACAAAGATTTTAACCAAGTTAGTCAATAATAAACATTAAGTGCTTACTTTGTGCTTGGCACTGTGTTAAAATCTGGAATTTTTTTTTAAATGAAAAAGACAATTTTTGAAAAAGAAAACACAGAATTAACATCCTTAGTTTCAATGTGTTTGTTAAGGAATCATTTTTATGACATTTGCTTTTACTACTGGATTCCAAATGTCTGGATGCATTGCTTATGGAGATAGATATTTTTGCTTTGTGCTATTCTGTATATCCAGCCCTTCTGAGCTTTGCTGTCTCCCTCCTGAGCTTCCGTTCCATCTGTCTTTTGGACATTTTAAACTGAATGTCCTGTGGGCATCTAAAACTCAGCCTGTTCAAAAGAGAACTCATGTCTCCTCCCAAATGCACCCTTCTTTTGAATTTGCCTATTGCTTTCCAGGGTACCACCATTCCTCCACTTATCTTGACTCACAATCTTCATACCATCCTTATTTCCTGACTGTCACTCATATTTAATCATACCATATGTTTAATCAATTGCCAGATCTTGTCATTTCTACTTCTACAGCATCTTTTATAGCTGTCCCCTTTTATCCATCCACAAGCCATCACATAGTTCAAGCCCTCATCTCCTCTTGCCTAGAGTATTTATTGCAATAGTCTTTGTTTGTTTATTTATTTACTTTTGGTTGTAAAAAATACTTTAGATTCGCATCTGTATATACCACATATATATCACAATAAATTCCACATAGATAGAAAAATTAAATATTAGAAGGCTTAGCATAAAATAATTGAGAACAGTGGAAGGTTTTATCTTTCACAGTAGTGATTATGAAGAATAAATGACGGATAGAATTGGAATTAATTGTGGTTAGGGAAGGTTTCCTGTTGAAGGTGAGATTTTAATTGAGACTTTAAAGAAGCCAGGGAAGTCAGTAGTCAGAGTAGAGGAGGGAGGAGTGTTCCAGTTGTGAGGGACAGACAGAGATATTGCCCGAAGGTGAGAGATGGAGTGTTTTGTTCATAGAACAGGTAGGAGGCCAGTGTCACTAGGTCAAAGAGTACATGTCAGGGAGTATGGATAAGAAGACTGGAAAGGCAGGAGGGGACCAGGTTATAAAGGACTTTGAATGCCAAAAAACAGCATTTTGTATTTGTTCCTGGAGCCAACAGGAAGTCATTGTAGTTTATTGAGTTGTGGTGTGGGGTGTGTGTGTGTGTGTGTGTGTGTGAGTGTGAGTGTGAGAGAGAGAGACAGAGATATCATCAGATCTGTGTTTTAGTGACTGAATGGAGAACAGATTGGAGTGGGAGAGACTTGGGGCATGCAGACCCACCTATTTCAGTAATCATGACATGAGGTGATGAGGGCCTGCATTAGAGTGGTGGAAGTGTCAGAGGAGAGAATGGGTCACATTCAAGGAGATATTGCAAAGGTAAAATCAACAACAGCATGGATACAGGGGCTAAGAGATAAAGAAGAATCCAAGATGACTCCTGGGGTTACAAGCCTGAATGTTGTATGGGGAGGATGTTGTTATCTTCCATAACAATAGAGAAGGTAGAAGGAAATAGGAGGAGGATTTGGGGGAAACATAATAAATACTGTTTTGGAGATACTGAGTTCAGGACCTCTACCTGGACATTCAGTTTGAGATGTCTGAAAGGTAAAGGAGATGTGAGATTGGAGGTCAGGGGAGAAATTGGGACAGGAAAGGTAGATTTGAGAATCATCAGCTTAAAAATGGTAATTAAATCTGTGGGTGCTGATCAGATCACCAAGTAAAGTAATACAGAGGAAGAAGAGAAGAGGACAAAGGACACCTATGGTTAGAAGACATGAATAAGAGGAGGATCTAGCAGTGGAGAGAGAGAAGGAGTGTTCAAATAAGTAGGAAGAAAATCAGGGGAGAGTTGTATCTTGAAAATCTAGAGAGAAGAGAGTAGTGAGGAGGAGAAAGTGATCAATAGTGTTAAAGGCTACAAAGAGGTTAAAAAGAATGAGGATTGAGAAAAGGCCGTTAGATTCGGCAAATAAGATATCATTAGTTACTTTGGAGAGAAAAATTTCAGTGCAGTGATAAAGTTGTAAACCAGATTGTAAGGGGTTCAGAAGAGAGTGAGCGGAAAGAAAGGGGAGGCACCTATTGTAGTTGGACTTTTCGAAGAGTTTAGCTACAAAAGGTGGAAGAGAAATAGTACTATAATTAGCAGACATGGATGGATCAAGTGAGGGGAGACATGAGCATATGTGTAGGCAGTAGAAAAGGAGCTGGTAGATAGGGAGAGATTGAAAATACGTGAAAGATTGGGGCTCCCAGAAAGGGCAGTCTGTTGGAGGCAACAGGAAGCAATGGTATTACTTGAACAGGTAGCGAGGTTAACCTTGGTAAGGAATAAGGGCACTTACTCCTTACCAAGACAGGGGCGAAGAAGGAGAGAGTGGCAGAAGGCACTTGAGTGGTGGTAGATAAGGAAGAGGGGAGAAGAGGGAATTTATGGAGAATTGGCCACATTTTTTTTTTCTGTAAAATATGAGGCAAGGGGAACAGGAGCCATGGGAGGTTTGAGAAGGGATGAAAAGGTTAGGAAGAGTCACAATGGAGCATGGGATAGTGAGTTGATTAGGGAGGTACAGTAGGATTGCCTAGCAGCAGTGAAGGCTCAGTTCCTTGCTTCCCTGACTTCCTTCAAGTCTCAACTAAAAAAAAAAAATCCTACCTTCTATAAGAAGCCTTTCCTAATCCCTCTTAATTCCCTTCCTTCTATTAATTATTTGCTATTTATCATATTCTTAACTTTGTTTACATGTTGTTTCCCCTATTTGATTGTGAGCTCCTTAAGGGCAGGGATGTATTCCCAGTGATTATATGGGCTCCCATTACTTGGGGCTGCTGTTGCTGGCCAAGGTGAAGATGTCGAGAGGATTTGGGCTGCCACTAGCATAGCTATCAACACTGGTGTCTCAGCCTGAAGTCTCTCCTCATTACAATATGTCCTCCACACAGCTGCCAAATTGATTTCCCTAAAGTGCCTATCTGACCATTTAACTACCTGCTTGGTAAACTGCTACGGCTCTATGTTAGCTCTGAGGTCAAATATACACTAATCTCTTTGGTATCCCAACTTATAGTTTTGGATATCCAGCTTGAGATTAGGGAGATACAGTATAATTTCCTAGTAGCAGTGAAGGTGGCAGCCCAGCTCCTCTCAATATCATCTTCACCTTGGCCCAAGCAGCAACAACCCCAAGGAGCTCACAATCTAATATCATAAAAATGGAAAATTCTTCTTAGGGAGAAGTGTTTAAATCTATTCAATAAATCTGCAGAATGCAAAGCTGTAGCCTTCTCATCTCTGACTCCATAACCCCTGATTCTATGTTAAAACACTGAAATCTCACTCAAAGTAACCAGGTTGTAGGAGTTCTAAAATTAATGGTAATAAATAATTTTCTATCCAGATACCAAATCCTTTTGCATGTTTGTCATGCTTTGGAGGTGATCATGAGTTCTCACATGTTATGCCAACAGAACAAAAGCTCCAACAGGTTCTACACAATACTAGAAAGACATTAATTATTATCTTGGAATCAGAATGAGTCTTATTTTCTGAGGACTAGAAGAATTTTCCATTTTTATGAGGACAATTGATTTTAGAATGGAATTTTTTTTGCATTATAATGAAATAGAAAAGTGAACATCTTTCTGTTCTGGGGGAAACTGAAATAATCTGTTATCTCATTTCTGTGATTTCCTCTAATTAGGTGAAGGATGGAGTCTAACTTATTTCAGTGAGTACTCTGCTGGCTTCTTCACTCTTCTCAAGAAGGTGCATGAGAAATAGTCTAGAGACAGCTTATTTTATGAAAAGACCTGATGTCCTTCTCTTCCTTCCCTGCTTTAATCTTCAACCTCTCCCAAGTCTCCCCAATTCTTAAACACCCTCACTGGATACTGTCATACTTGCCAGCTCTTGTCTGCATTTGTCCACTTCCCCTTTCAGCAAACCTTTTGAAAAAGGGTCCATAATCAGTGCCATTGCTTCCTCTTTTCTCCTTTTCTTTTTAACTCTACAAGTCTATTTTCTTACCTCTTCTTTCAACTGAAACCACTCTCTCCAAACCAATCTCTTCATTGCAAACATCTCATGACCTCTTCTTGATCCTTATTGACCTCTGTGTAGCGTTGGAAACTTTTAATTATATTTTCCTTCTGGATACTCTGTGTGGGATTTTCTAACGGATTTCTCTCACTTCTTATATCTGCCTGACTGCTTTTGTCTGACTGAAGTGCTTTTGCTTGATCTTTGTTCATGTCCTGCCTACTAAGTTCGGATAACCCCAGCACTGTGCTCTATATCCTCTTCTCCTTTCTTTTTATGCCAGTGATTCTCAGACTAAATAGTCCTACTCTTTCCTGAGTTCTAGTCCTACATTACCAACTGCTAGTTTGACATTTTGATTGGTTTTTCTTTCAGCAGCTCAAACTCAGCATGTCTAAAACAACTCATTATCATTTCTCTCAATCTTTACCATTCTGAATTTTCCTATTACTTTTGAGGGCACCACCCTCCTTTTAGTCCCTCAGGTTCATAACTCTGTTGTCATCCTTGATTCCTTTGACCGAGAGCAGTCACCCCATGTATCCTGTTGCCAAATCTTGTAATTTCTTGCATACATCCTCTTCTTTCCACTCACAAAGTCACCCCTCTAGTTTAGACCCTCACCATCTTTCATTTATCCCCTTAATAAAAGGATTTGTTCTGTGAAGTTTGAATTCAGTCAGAGGGCTGCACTTGAGGCCTTAGAGTGGCCTCAAGGCTGCAGGTTCCCTATCCCTGAATTCTAGACTATTATAGTAACATTCTAATTGGGCTCCTTGCCTCATGTCTCTCACATGCCAGTCTTTCTTCCAGTCAGCTGTCAAAGGTTATCCTAAAGTTATAAATCTTAACCATATCACATCCCTATTCCATCAGATCAAAGTCAGTAAGCTTTCATTAAATATTTACCATGTTCCAGGCACTGTGCTAAGAACTGGGAATACAAATATAAATAATGAAAGATAATCCTTGCTGTCAAGGAGCCCATGTTTTTAAAATTGGGTTACAAATTTTCTCCTTCTTTCTCCACTCCCCTCATTGAAAAGGGAAGCAATTTGGTATAGGTTATTATGCATATGTAGTCATGCAAAACATATTTCTGTATTAGTCATGTTGTAAAAAAAAACATAGACCAAAATAAAAACCCAAGAAAAATAAAATTTAAAAAGTATGCTTTGATCTGTATTCAGACTCCATCAGTTCTTTTTCTGGGGATGGACAGCATTTTTCATAGGTCCTTCAGAGTTGTCTTGGATCATTGTATTGCTGAGAATAGCCAAGTCATTCACAGTTGATCATCTTATAATATTGCTATTACTGTGTACAATGTTCTCCTGGTTCTACTCATTTCACTTTGCATCAGTTCGTTTAAGTCTCTCCAGGTTTTTCTGAGAGCATCTAGCTCATCATCTGTTATAGAACAATACTATTCCATTACATCTTGTATACCACAAATTGTTCAGCCATTCCCCAATTGATGGGCATACCCTCAATTTCCAACTTTGCTCCCAGAAAAGAATTGCTATAAATATTTGGGCATAGTTCCAAATTGCTCTACATAATGGTTTAATCACTTCACAACTCCACCAACAGTAGTGTCTCAATTTTCCCACATCTCCTCCAACATTTATCAGACTCTTTTTCTGTTGTATTAGCCAATCTAGTACCTCAGTGTTGTTTTAATTTGCATTTCTCCAATCAATAGTGATTTAGAGCATTTTTTCTTATGACTATAGGTAGCTTTGATTACTTCATCTGAAAACTGACTGTTTATATTTTTTGATTATTTGTTAATTAGGGAATGGCTCTTCCTTTGCAGAAAGAATGCTTGAACTAGAACTTGGACTTCCTTCCACTGAGGAAGTACACTGAAATTCCTTCCAACTACAAAATTTTGTAATTCTGTTAAAGTGCTTTTTGTTCCATCAAGTGCTGTGTAAATGTGAGCTATTATTAATAGAGGATTCTCGATCAGTCCTCTGTACAGTGTGGTGCTATACTTTTTATGATGATGAAAAGAGAAGAAAAACACTACTCTTGCTCAGTTTCATTACATAGTTAATTAGATAATTTAATGGTAACAGTGTTCAACAATTTACCGAAAAATGTATAGAAACATGCTAAGCTATTTTTAAGGAAAGTATTACTTGGTTATAAAGAACTTAACAGGAGTAGAATTACCATCCTGTGATTTAAATGTAATAATTTATAGATAAATATAAAATTCAATTAATGTAGATTTAACTTATAATTTGTTTTTAGATAATTTCTTTAATATCCTGGTTTTAAATGAGGTTCATGAGGTCATCGTGAAAGCTGTTAAAAAATATTCAGAAAATGCAACTTTACAGATCGCAGCACTAAGCTGTTTGGCTCTCCTCAGTGAGTAAATTTTGCCTTGCTGTGTTTAAAAAAAAAAGTAGCTCCTACAGTAAATGCTTAAAGATTTATTTTGTCTTGCTTTTTTCATAGTATCAGAATGTCTCGTGCACAAAAAGAGGTAGTAATATACTTTTCTGCCCAAAGAGCAGCCATTAATTCAAAGCCGTATCCATGGAATGATTTAGCAAGGAAACAAAGCTGCAATGACTAATCCAATGATACTGGTCATTTGCAATTTTGAATTCTGTGCTTGATATGCTTGATGTGCTTCCTCAACAATTTTATTTATTCAAATTTCCTCTTATAATTTGGCTTTGAATATTGGTTGCTTTCTCTGCATTCATTTTGTAATTATTTTCTAACTGTTCTTTAGTCTGTTATTTTTTGTAGATTCTGTTTTAACTCATGATTGTACTGGAATTTAATTACTCTGGGGGTGGGGAGATGGACATAGAACTGCTTTTTCTTTGTTTCCATTTTTGTTCTCATCTTGCTTATTAGATCAGTTTGAGATTTATCTGATTTATCAGGTTCAGCTGTTTTGTTTTATTTTATTTTGAGAGGGAGGGTGCAAAAGAGAAATGAGAATGGGAATAAAGATAAAAAGTATGGTTACCAATCAAAGTGATTAAGTATCTACTACGTACCAGGGACTGTTAGGCACTGGTGTTACAGATGCAAATAATGAAATAATCCCTACTCATCGAGAGTTTATATTCTAATGGCTACTTATCTCATTTTTGTGCTTCACTTTTATATTGTTGACATGGGAAATATCTTACTGAATACTAAAGGGTAGATGAGATCTTTATAAGATAAATCTTTTATGAAAAGAAATAAGTCTTACTACTAAAAGTAAAGCCTTGAAAATTATATCTTTGTTTTCTTAATGTAATTTAACATTTTAATTTATTTATTTTAAACATTGTTTTCTTTTTAAAGTATGCCTTCCAAATTTTCTCCCTCCCTGTCATCACCATCCCCTACCCACTGAAAAGGCAAGCAATATCAATTATATATGTAAAATCATGCAAAACATATTTTCTTATTAGCTATATTTCCAAAAAAAAAGCAAGAAAACTAAAGTGAGAAAATTTTACTTTGAATGCACTCAGAGTTGATCAGTTCTCTCTGTGGAGGTGGCTAGTATTTTTTTCTTCATGAGTTCTTTGGAATTGTCTTGGATTATTGTATTGATCTAAAGAGTCTCGTCTTTCACAGTTGATCATTGTTTCTACTTGGCACAATTCTCCCAGTTCTTCTCACTTCACTTGCATCATTTCATATAGGTCTTCCTATGTTTTTTTTTTTTTGAAACCACCCCCTCATCGTCATAAATCCCAACTTGTTCAATCATTCCCTAACTTATGAGCATTCCCTCAATTTCCAATCCTTAGCCACCACGAAAAGAGAGGTCTGCAAATTGTTGGTGTTTCCAGGGTGTTATGATCCTGGGAGAGGTATAGTCAGTTCTCTCCTGAAGGGTCCCTTGTCTCCTGCTCTTTGCTTTGCTACTGTACCCAGGGCTCCTTGTGACAAACCCTCTTCTCTACTTTGGAACTGTGACCTCGAACTGCCTCTGGGCAATAAACTTGCCAATCAGTGCCAGCAAAGGGGGCCCCTGTTACCTCTTTCTGACCTGTGGTTCAACTCCCTTACTGTCTCTAAGCTGAGAAATTCTGAAGCTACTGCTGCCACTGAGGCTGTAGTTGCTGCAGCAATGTGTGTGGGTTCTAGACAGGCCTCCCTCCAGGTACCCTAGACTTCTGCTGACCTCTTAAATTTTCTTAGGCCAGAAAAAAATGTTTTGCCCAACCCTTTTGTTCACTCTGCTGCCCCAAAATTTGCTTTCAGAAATTATTTTAAAGTTGCTTTGAGAGGCATGTTGATATAGTGCAAACTGAGTAGCTTCTGCCATCTTGGCTCTGCTCCACCTCCCCCCATCTTAATGTAATTTAAAGGAGACTTAAAAAACAAAATGTCTCATGCTTAGAGAATAAACCATAGGCATGAAAATTCTAGAAATTTCATTAAAACTCTAGTTGATTTTGCTTTAAAAAATTTGAAAAATAACACATTGATCAGAATTCTCCATGGAGTAGAGGTTGGGTGCTGGAATAATATATAAATAATCATCTTGGAAACTCTACAAAATAGCTTACTAACAAATCTTTACATTTATTCACTAGTATTCCAGAAGATATGATCTAGCTAAAAGTAGTACTTTCATCTTTGTTCATTTATTTATAATAATTTAAACCCAAAAGATTCTCTTTGTTGAATAGTAATAGTTAATTACTAACATTCATATAGTGTTTACTGTGTGCCAGACACTCTGCTAAGTGCTTTATAATTATAATTTATAATTTATTCAATAGGTTGATCATATTAATCACAGAAATTTTCCAAATGATGTATGCTTGTTAAAGCCATCATAATATATCATTTTGAGAAAAGTAATATTAATAAGAAGAGCATTTAGGTAGCTAAGTTTTAGAACAGTCTTCTGGGCATAATTGAGACAGATGTCTTTGGAGTTCCCTAATCCAGAGAACCAGTAGAGCCCTCAACTGTAGGGCCTTCTACACTACCTCCTATTCCTTTTTTCATGAATTTAATTTCATTGATTTTTCTTCAGTTGATAAACATTTATTTTCCTTCCCCCTCTCTCCCACCAAAAAAGGAAAAACAAAGCTTTTGGAACAGTTATGCTTTGGTCAAGCAAAATAAATTCCCATTGACTATATCCAAAAATGAGTGTCTCTTTTGTGAGTTAAAATCGTGATGAACTTTTTTGGGGGTGCAATAAAATAAGCATGTTTAACTTAAAATGAGGGAAAAGAAAAAATAATTTAGTGATATGTATGGTTGGTCTAAGAATTGTGACACGGTTGAATTTATGCTAGAAGTGAAGTGCCATCTGTGGTAAGATTATTCATTGAATGTTACGTGTTTTGTTTTTGCTGTTTATTAATGTAATATATCAGTAGAGGTTAAACTTTATCCATTTGGAAATATGAAATCACACGGCAGTCATTCCAAATTAGGACTAATTTATGATATTTTTATCTTCAAGCTGAAACTATTATTTTAAACCAAGATTTAGAAGAAAAGAAAAAGAATCAAGAAGATGATGAGGACAATAAATTATACTGGTTAGAAGCCAGTTACAGAGCATTGACATTGCATAGAAAGAACACAGACGTGCAGGTTTGATTACTACTAAGTCACTTTTAAGATTGATTGAGAGTTGTTTGTATAATTATACAAACTTTTTTTTTTTCCAATCCAGGAGGCTGCATGCTGGGCTTTAAACAATCTACTTATGTACCAAAGCAATTTACATGAAAATATTGGAGATGAAGATGACCAGTCAGTAGTAATGATTTTATGTTTATAAATGTTAATTAAATTAGAAAAATTATCTGCTAAAATTAATATTTTTACTTTAGAAATTCTTTATGTATATCTGAGAGTTTCTCCAAAGATAATAGTACATTCACAGTGTTTGGACCTCAGTGTCTTCAATAAGTTATTTGCTAACTTAGGAACAAAAGTTATATTTAAAAGTTATTAAAGTCTTAATAGAAATTCCAGTAAGCTAATGACTTTTGAGTAATCAGTGAATATTAAAAATAGTGCATTTCCAGTTTCATCCATAAATGCTACCATATCACAATCTGTCTAGGCACTCTGATCTGCCTGCTTTTCCTCAAACAAGATATTCCATCTCTCAGCTCTAGGCATTTTCAGTGGTGGTTCTACATGTCTGGAATCTTTTCCCTCTTTGTCTCTGCCTTCTGGCTTCCCTGGCTCCTTCAAGTTCCAGTTAAAATACCACTTTCTACAGGAAGCCTTTCCCATTCCCTCTTAATTTTAGTGCCTTCACTCTATTGGTAACTTCTTATTTATCGCTGACTTAACTTGTTTATATCTAGTTATTTTCATGTTGTCTCCCTCATTAGATTGTGAGCTCCTTGGGGACAGGGCCTGTCTTTTACTTTTTTTTGTATGCCTAGCTCTAACCACAGTGTCTGGCATGTGGTAGGTGCTTAACAAATACTTGTCGGTTTCATATTGACAACAGAAAATTAAGGGCAAACATCATTTGGCTACACTTCTCCAATCGAGTCTGTTACCTCTAAGTAAATCCTCTATTTGATATTTAATGACCTTCTCAACCTGAGCCCTTCCAAACCTTTCCATTCTTCTTACACTTGATTCCCTCCCATGAACTTTCTAATCCAGCTACAGTGGTTGGCTTGCTGTTCCTCATACATGATCTTCTAACATTCTTCTTCTTCACTTTCTAGCTTTCCTGGCTTTCCTCATCTAAAATCTAGCCTTCTCTGTAGGATACTTTTCTAAGTCCTACCCTTCTCCCCTCACTTCTGCTAGTACCTTTCCTCTTTGATTAACTTACATTAACCCATATATATATATATATATATCTTGTATGTACATAGTTATCTGCATTTTTTCTTTCCCATTACAGTGTGTGCTTTTTGAGTTCAGGGACCATTTTTTTTGCCTTTCTTCATATCCCAAATACTTAGTGCAGTGCCTGACACATAAGTTGCTTAATAAATGCCTGTTGACTAACTAATCTGGAAGGATGAATGCTATTACTCTTCAAAGAATATCGCTATCATCCTGTTTTGTATTTGCATATGTTAGGAGGGTGCATAAGGAATATTCATGTGGCAGTTATTTAATTTAACTTTCAGTTGCAAACCCAATGTATGTAGGTCCTTCACAGCAAATTTTTTTTTCTTTCTTTTTACAAAGTTTCATGAATGTCTTTTTTTAAAAAGTTAAATTTTATTTTTTCAGTGAACAAAAATTGATTTTCTATTTTTCTCCTTCCTCTCTCTGTTGCAAAACAAAACAAAACAAAAAACCTTCTAATGGGTATGCGTAATTAAGCAAAACAGTTCCTGCATTGACCTTATCCAAAAAATATATGTGTCACTCTATACAGGAGTCCATCTTCTCTTTATTGGGGGTGGGTAGCATGCTTCATCATCATCCTCCATAATCATGGTAGTTTATTGTGTTGATGAGGATTCTAAAGGCCTTCAAAGTTGTTTATTTTTTGTGTTGTGTTTTGCTCACTTCCCCATGCAATGCATATAGGTTTTCCCAGGTTTCAATGAAACTGTTCCTTTCATTATTTTTTATAACACAGTACTGTTCCCTTACATTCATATATACCATTTTTATTCAACCATTTACCAGTTGAGAGACATCCACTTTAGTTTCCAATTCTTTGCTACCACAAAAAGAGCTGCTATAAATTTTTTTTTTACACATGGGTTCTTCTTTCTTTGATCTCTTTGGTGTATAGGCTTACTAGTGACATTGTTGTGTCCGTAGTTTAGTAGCTGTTAAAATGCATTTCCAAATTGCTTTTTAGAACGGCTAGACCAATTCACAACTCCATCACCAGCATATTTATTCACCTGTTTTCCTACAACCTAACTTTGGTAATTTCCCTTTTTTGTCAGTTTTTCTAACTTGAGCTTCAGAATTGCTTTAATTTGAATTTTTCTAATTTTTAGTGATTTGGAACATTTTTTTCATATGACTATTTATTAGCTTTTATTTGTTACTCCAAAAATTCCTTTTTTCATATTCTTTGTCCATGTATCAAGTGGATAATGATTACCTTTTGTACCTCTAATTCATTTATTTCAAAATATATCCCCCTCTCCTGCACCAATGACAGACTTTCCCTTAACAAAGATTAAAAGAAAAATAGTATAGCAAAACCAATTAATAAATCAATCACAACAGGCAGCATATACAGCATTTTATACTCATAAACCTCCACTTGTTTAGTAAGAGGAGGGGAGGTATGTTTCCTCATTTCCTATTGAGAGTAAATATTATTCTTTATAATTTTCAGTGAATAGCATGTTGCATTATCAGACCTCTGAAACCATGATTAGTGATTAGATTGCTCAGAGTTCCTAAGTATTTACGTTAGCTGAAGTATAATAGTTTTTACTTCAGCCCTTTGTTTTAAATATGTATTAATATTTATCTGTGTGTCTTTTGTGAAATATGAAATGTGGGATTCTGATTTCTAATCCTTTTTTGCTATCCATTTCCATTTTAAGAGTGAGTTTATCCCATTCACATTCATGGTTATAATAATTGTGTATTGCTCTCCATTCTATGCTTTTATGTTTTTCCTTTTCTTGTTTCTAACACTTTATTTATGATAATTAGGATTATGCGAGAGAAGTGTGCTCAACTCCTCTGTTGTAGGTTTGGTGCCATCTGCTTGGCTTCCCTGACCCTCTTTATAATTTATTATTCTTTATAATTTATAATTTAATTTATTTTTGTTTTTGTTTAGTTTTAGTTCATTTAGTTGTCAAAGTGGTGTCAAACTCAAATAGAAAGGAGGACCACGTATAAACATTACCTGTGTTTTGTATTTTTATTTATCTTGTTTAATATTTCTCAATTATATTTTAATCTAGTTTGGGCCAGCCTTGGGAGTCACTGCATGTTTGACAGCTCTTTTGTAGATATATATATTATCTTGCTTTCAGTGGTTTTTTGAATTCCTTATATTTGTTCTCTTCTTATCAAATGATATTTGTAAGAGGTGCTTAGCACACTGTATGGTGCATAATACGTGATAAATAAATACTTATTCCTTTTCCTTTCCCTTGTTTTCCTTCATCTTTGCCAGTTTGCTGTATGTGAAATGAAACCTTGGAGTTGCTTTTGTTTGCATTTCTCTTCGTGGTTTGGAGCAATTTATGTGATTTTTAAGAAAAGTAATTTATGGTTCTTTTGACAACCACTTGTTCATATTTTTAAACCATTTATATATGGGGAACTGACTCTTGATTTTTGTATATATTTCTTTAATTCCCCATATATTTTAAATATCAAACTTTTATCAGAGGTGACCGCAGAGGTCATTTAATCCAATCCCCTAATTTTACAGATGAGGAAACTGAAGCCTATAAAGCTTAAAGTACCTTGCCCGAGGTCATACAGTAGGTAGTAAATGATAGAGCTAGCATTTGATTTCCGGTCCTCCGATTTCAAATCAAGCATTTTTTACATTGGTCCATACTGCTTTCCTACTTGATATCTGTTACAAAGATTTCTTCCTCAATCCACTGCTTACCTTCTTATCTTGTTTCTTTTCATTTTCTTTATACAAAAGTTTTTTTACTTTTCTATCATCAAAATTGTTTGTTTTATGTTTCGTCATCTCTTTTTCTTGTTTAATAAGGCCTCTCATAGTTGTGAAAGATGCTTCCATTGATTTTTGACCAGTTTTAAAACTTTATGATATTTTTCATATTTGTCAAGTATTTGTTTTGAACTAACTGTGGTGTAAGATGCTAATGTAAATTTATTGTTTTTCCAAAGATAATTTCTAACATGAATAATGATGCCTTTGTTATGTAAGCTTTCATTCTGTCTCCATTTTCTGTACAAATTTCCCTTCAGTGCCTTTTAGTAGCTGTACTTTTCTATTACCATTGATATTTCCCTCCTTCTCTTATTCTTTCTTTAACTCTCTTTTCATTACTCTCTGACCTTACTATCTCTTATAATTTCTTCACAGAATCATTGTTGAAAGGGTAGTAAAAAATGCTTATTTTCTCAGCAGCTTATGATTTCTATCTCAGTGTCAACCAGTCCCAGTGAAAAATTACTAAAAATTGCTTAAGTATAATTTATTAACTATTTTAGACATTTTTCATAGAGAACAATTAAAATAATCATTAAAAGTTACTGTTAATTTTTTAATTTACATTTGAAAAAGGTATCCAGTGCATAGGGAAATGCTGCTTGCCATGCTGATGCATTCTTCATCAAAAGAAGTATTTCAGGCAGCTGCTAATGCGTTATCAACTCTATCAAAACAAAATGGTAAGGCATAGCTTATGATGTAAAAGTTTTTATGTCATTAAATTTATTTTATTTTTAATGTAGTTCTTATTCTACTTTACCTTTTGTCAGTTAAAAAGCATTAATTTTCTATTGCCCCCACCTCCTCACTTCATTTGAAAATAAAGAAAAACAATGTTCATCCAACATATATTCATAGTTAAGCAAAAGACATTATCACATTGATCCTGTCTTGAAGTATCTCATTCTGTATCTTGAGTCCATCACCTCTCTGTTAGGAAGTGAATAGCATGTTGCATTATCAGACCTCTGAAACCATGATTAGTGATTAGATTGCTCAGAGTTCCTAAGTATTTACGTTAGCTGAAGTATAATAGTTTTTACTTCAGCCCTTTGTTTTAAATGTGTATTAATATTTATCTGTGTGTCTTTTGTGAAATATGAAATGTGGGATTCTGATTTCTAATCCTTTTTTGCTATCCATTTCCATTTTAAGAGTGAGTTTATCCCATTCACATTCATGGTTATAATAATTGTGTATTGCTCTCCATTCTATGCTTTTATGTTTTTCCTTTTCTTGTTTCTAACACTTTATTTATGATAATTAGGATTATGCGAGAGAAGTGTGCTCAACTCCACTGTTGTAGGTTTGGTGCCATCTCTTGGCTTCCCTGACCCTCTTTTCTTTCCCTCACTCAAAGCCCAACTGCAAGTTCTTATCCATTTTATTATTTTAAATTTTTTTTGAACATTTTTATTTAAAGTTTTGCGTTCCAAATTCTATTTATCCCTTCCTCCCTCCCCTTTGCCCTCCCTGAGATTTTAAGCAATCAGATATAGGTTATACACGTGTAATTCTGTAAAACATTTCCATAATAGTGATTTTGTATAAGAAGACTCGAATTAAAGAAAAAAAATAAAAGAAAGAAAGGGAAAATAGCATGCTTCAATAAGTATCAGTTCTTTCTCTGAAGACAGATAGTATGCTTCATCATTAGTCCTTTGGCATTGTCTTGGACCATTATACTCCTAAGAAGAGCTAGGTCATTCACAGTTCTTCACCAAACAATATTGCTCTTACTTTGTGCAGTGTTCTCCTGGTTCTGTTGATGCATCAGTTCATGTAAATCTTTCCAGGATTTTCTGAAATCATCTTGCTTGTCATTTCTTACAGCACAGTAATATCACATTGCAATCATATGTCACAGTTTGTTTAGCCATTCCGCAGTTGATGGATGTCCCTGCATCCCTTTGATTTCCAATTCTTAGCCATGACAAAAAGAGATGCTGTAAATATTTTTGTACAAATAGGTACTTTTCCCTTTATTTGGATGTCTTTAGGATATAGACTTAGCAGTGTATTGCTGGATCAAAGGGTCTGCACAGTATCATAGCCCTTTGGACATAGTTCCAAATTGCCCTCCAGAATGGTTGGATCAGTTCACAACTCCACCAGCAGTGCTTTAGTGTCCCCGTTTTCTCACATCCCTTCCACCATCCATCATTTTCCTTTTTTTTGATAACAATTTTGATAGGTGTGATGTGGTACCTTAGAGTTGTTTACTTTGCATTTCTCTGATCAGTAATGACTTAGAGCATTTTTTCATACAACTATAGATAGCTTTGATTTCTTTGTCTGAAAACTGCCTGTTCATATCCTTTTACCATTTATCAATTGGGGAATGACTTGTATTTTTATAAATTCGGCTCAGTTCTCTATATATTTGAGAAATGAGGCCTTTATCAGAGATATGGGTTGCAAAATTTTTTCTCTACTTTTCTGCTTTCCTTATAATTTTGGTTGCACTGGCTTGTGCAGAAACTTTTTAATTTTATATAATTGAAATGATCTATTTTACCTTTTGTTTGCTTTCTATATCTTCTTTGGTCCTAAATTTTTCACTTATTCATAAATCTGATAGATAATCTATTCCATGCTCTTAATTTGCTTATAGTATCACGCTTTATGATACCCATTCATACTGTTCCCATTCAGTTTTCTCTAAAGGTCTGTCATATCTAACTTTTATAATATTCTAGTTTCTTTCTTGTTTATTTTTTGGTTGGATTTATTGAGTTCTGAGAAGGGACAGTTGTGGTCCCCCACTAGATTTGCTGTCTTGTTCTTCCTATAACTCACTTACCTCCTCTTTTAAGAAGTTGGATAACATACCACTTGATGCACATATGTTTAGTATTGATAATACCTCATTGGCTTATGGTACCTTTAGCAAGATGTAGTTTCCTCTTTTGATTAGGTCTAATTTTGCTTTTACTTTGTCTGAGATAAAGATTACTACCCTTGCTTTTTTTACTTTAGCTGAGGCATAATAGATTCTGTTCCAGCCCATTACCTTTACTCTGTATGTGCCTCTGTGCTTCAAGTGTGTTTCTTGTAAGCAACATATTATAGGATATTGGTTTTTGATCCACTCTGCTATCTGCTTCCATTTTATGGAGAGTTCATCGCATTCACATTTACAGTTATGATTATGACTTGTGTATTACCCTCCATCATATTCTTCCTCCTGTTTGTTCTCTCTCTCCTTTCACCTTTTCCCTCCTCACCAGTATTTTACTTCTGTTTGCCACCTCCCTTCTGTCAGTCCCCATCCCAGCCTTTACTTAATCTCCTCCCCCCCTTTCCCTGTTGTGTAAGATAGATTTCTGTATTCAACTGATTGTGTATATTATTCCCTCTTTGAGCCAATACTGATAAGAGTAAGATTCAAGTGATGCTTGTTGCCTACCCTCGCATTTTCTGTTCCACTGTAATAGGTCTTTCTTGCCTCTTCATGTGAAATAATTTACCCCATTCTACCTCTCCCTTCCTTCTGCAGCCAGGGTATTGCTCTTTCTCTTCCCTTAATTATTTTTTTATGTTATTCCCTCAAATTTACCTTATTACCCGTATCATCTATGTATATTCCTTCTATCTGTACTGTTGGTGATACAGTTTTTAAGAGTCATAAGTATCATCTTCCCATGTATGGATGTAAACAGTTTAGCTCTATTGAATCTCTTATGTTTTCTTTTCCTTTTTACCAGTTTATGCTTTTCTTGAGTCTTGATATTGGAAGTCATATTTTTGGTTTAGTTCTGGTCTTCTCCTTATAAAAGCTTGAAATCCTTCTATTTCATTGAATGACCTTTTTTTCCCCATGATATGCTACGATTAAATTTGCCAGGTAAGTGATTCTTGGTTATAGTCCTAGCTCCTCTGCCTTCCGGAATATCACATTCCATGACTTCTGATTCTTTAATGTTGCCAGCTGCCAAGACCTGTGTGATCCTGACTGTGGCTCATCAATATTTGAATTGTTTCTTTCTGGCCACATGTAATATTTTTTTTTGACATGATAGTTCTGAAATTTAGCGGTGATGTTCCTTGGAGTTTTTATTTTAGGATTGGTGGATTCTTTCAATGCTTATTTTGCCCTCTGGTTCCAGGACAATACAGAGCAGTTTTCGTTGACACTTTCTTGAAAGATGCTGTCTAGATCCATCTTTTGATTATGGCTTTCAGATAGTCCAGTGATTCTGATATTGTCTCTCCTGGATATATTTTCGAGGTCATTTTTTTTTTTCCATGAAATATGTTACATTGTCTTTTTTTCATTCTTTTGAATTTGTTTGATTGATTCGTGATGTTTCATAGAGTCATTAGCTTCCACATGCCCTATTCTAGCTTTTTAAAAAAATTATTTAGTATTTAATTTTTCCCCATTTACATGTAAAAACAACTTTTTACATTTGTTTTTAAAACTTGAAGTTCCACTTTCTCTCCCTTCCTCCCTCCCCACCCCCACTTCATTGAGAAGGCAAACAATTTGATATAGGGTGTACATGCGTAGTCACACAAAGCATTTCCATATGTTATGAAAGAAGACGTAAGGCCTCCCCCCCCCAAAAAAAACTTAGAAAATAAGGAATAAAAAAAATAATGCTTCCATCTGTATTCAGACACCATCAATTCTCTCTAGGGTTGGATAGCATTTTTTATTATACACCCTTCAGAGTTGTCTTGAATCATTGTAGTGCTGAGAATAACTGTCATTCACAGCTGATCATCTTACAATATTGCTGTTACTTTGTACATAGTACATTTAATTTTGCATCAACTCATTTACCATATTTCACCACATAATTGTCACACTATGTTTTTTTTCAGTGTAAAAATTAGTTTTTAACCTTTCATTGTGTAATTGTCACATGGTAAAAATTCTCTTTGTCATGCCACTTAAAAGGTGTAGCAATGTATTCACTAGTGGTATATGTATATGCATTTATCTTGATCATTGTGAGCACAAGTCTAGAATTCTCAGCACATGTGCATTGTCAGTATTCAGTTTTAAGGTATATTCACGAGTGTTCTGTGCATGCTAATCTTGCACCAAAACAGTTTAGTAATAAATGATTTTTAAGTAATACTGGCACAGTTTTTAAAAATCACATAATGGTTGCAATCCACTTTTTTTGCAAAAGAATTTTGGCATAAATTCTGCAACAATTATGTGGTGAAATACGATAAGTCTTTAAAGGTTTTTCTGAGAGCATCCTGTTCATCATTTCACATAGCACAATATGTACCCTATCAAAATCATATACTGCAACTTGTTCAGCCTTTCCCCAGTTGATGAGCATTCCTCTGATTTCCAGTTCTTTACCACCACAAAAAGAGCTGCTATAAATAATTTTGTACATATAGTTCCTTTCCCTTTCTGTTTTTTATCTCTTTGGGACACAGACTTAGTTAGTGGTATTGCTAGGGCAGAGGTTATACATGGTTTTATAGCCCTTTGGGCATAGTTCCAAATTGTTCTGCAAAGTGGTTGAATTAGTTCACAACTCTAACAACAGTACATTAGTGTTTCATTTTTCCATCATTCCCTCCAGCTTTTGTCATTTACCTTTACTGTCCTATTAGCCAATCTAATAGATATGAGGTAGTACCTCAGAATTGTTTTAATTTGCATTTCTCCAATCAGTAGTGAGTTAGAGTATTTTTTCATATGGCTATAGATAACTTTGATTACTTCATCTGAAAACTGATCATGTCTTCTGATCATTTATCAGTTGGGGATTGGCTCTTATTTTTATAAAATTGACTCAGTTCTCTATATGTTTGAGAAATGAGGTCTTTATCACAGAAACTTCCTTCAAAATTTTTTTTGCAGTTAATCTTGCTAACTGTATTTCCCTCCATCCTTTCCTCCCTGCACTATTTTATTCTCTCTCCTTTTACCCTTTTTCTCCTCAAATGTGCTTTGCTTCTGACTACTCCCTCTCCAATCTGCCCTCCCTTCTACCACCACCCTCCTTTCTTTATCCCCTCCTCGCCTTTCTTTCCTATAAGGTAAGGTAGATTTTTATACCCAACTGAGTGTGTATGTTATTCCCTCTTTGAGCCAATTCTGATGCAGATAAGATTTACTCACTTCCCATCTCTTCCCCTTCACTGTCAAAAGCTTTCTCTTGCCTCTTTGATGTGAGATAATTTACCCCCACTCTACCTCTCCCTTTTCCTTTCTCCCAGTACATTCCTTTCTCACCCCTTGATTTTATTTTTTTGGATATCATTCCATTATATTCAGCTCACACCTCTGCCCTCTGTCTGTATTTCCTCCTTCTAACTTCCTTAATAATGAGAAAGTTCTTGTGAGTTTTAAGTATCATCTTCCCATGTAGGAGTGTAAACAGTTTAACCCCATTAAGTCTCTTATGATTTCCCTTCCCTATTTACCTTTTTATGCTTCTCTTGAGTCTAATATTTAGGAGTCAGATTTTCTATTCAGCTCTGGTCTTTTCATTAAAAATGGTTAAATGTCCTCTCTCTTTGAATGTCCGTTTTCTCCTCTGAAGGATTATACTCAGTTTTTCTGAGTAGGTGATTCTCAGTTGTAATCCTAACTCCTTTTCCTTCTGGAATATCATATTCTAAACCCTCTGATCCTTTAATATAGAAGTTGCTAAATCTTGTGTTATCCTGACTGTGACTCCATGATACTTGAATTTTTCTTTCTGGCTGCCTGCACTGTTTTCTCCTTGACCTGGAAATTCTGGAATTTGATTACAATATTCCTGGCAGTTTTCATTTGGGACCTCTTTCAGCAGGTGATCCATGGATTCTGTCAATTTCTATTTTACCTCCTGGTTTTAGAATATCAGCAATTTTCCTTGATAATTTCTTGAAAGATGATGAATGTGTAAGCTTTTTTTATGATCCTGGCTTTCAGGTAGTCCAATAATTTTTAAATTATCTCTCCTGGATCTATTTTCTGGGTCAGTTGTTTTTCTGAAGAGATATTTCATATTGTCTTCTATTTTTTTCATTATTTTGGTTTTGTTTTATTATTTATTGATTTCTCACAAAGTTATTAGCTTCCATTTGCTTAATTCTAATTTTTTTTAGGAATTATTTTCTTCACTGAGCTTTTGTACCGCCTTTTCCATTTGACCAAATGTACTTTTTAAGAAATTTTTTTTTTTCTTCAGTGAATTTTTGTGCCCCTTTTTCCATTTGGTCAGTTCTGCTTTTGAAGAAATTGTTTTCCTCATTTGCTTTTTGTGCCTCTTTTCTCTTTTAGCTTAGTCTGTTTTTTAAGGTTTTATTTTTTTCAGTATATTTTTGTGTCTACTTTACCAAACTATTGACTCTTTTTTTATGATTTTCTTGCATCATTGTCATTTCTCTTCTCAATTTTTCCTCTCCCTCTCTTACTTGATTTTCCAAATCCTTTTTTAGCTCTTCTGTGACCTGAGACTAGTTCATATTTTTCTTGGAGGCTTTGCACATAGGAGCTTTGATTTTGTTATCTTACTCTGAGTGTGTGTTTTGATCTTCCTTGTAACCATAGTAAGTTTCTATAGTCAGAATTGTTTTCTGCTCTTTGCTCGTTTTCCCAACCTATTACTTGACTTTTAACTGTTTGTTAAAGTAGGGCTCTGTTTCCAGGGTGGAGAGAGCACTGTCTCAAGCTTCAGGGGTTTTGTGAAGCTGTTTTCAGAGATATTTCCAGGGATCTATAAATTTTCAGTTCTTCCAAGGTGGGATGATATAAGGAGAGGTGTGTTTACTACTCTCCTGGCCCAGTGTCTGGTCTCTGAGCAGCCACAAGCATTCTTTTCTTCCCTGGTACTGTGGGGAAGGTCCATGCTCCCCTGCAGCTGCAAGCTCAGGTGTGCTAGTGCTTCTTCTCGTTCTGGGACTGCGACCTGGATCCATTTATGGGCAAAGCAATAGAGTCCTGCCCCAGTGCTAGCAAAGAGACTCCTATAATCTTCTAAATAGTTGTTCAACTCACTTACCATCTGTGGGCTGAGAGCTATGGAAGCAGCTGCTGCTGCTGCTGCTGCTGCTGCTGCTGCTGCTGCTGCTGCTGCTGCTGCCGCCACTGCCACTGCTTATTCATTGGCTCCCGTGGCCTGCTCCTTGGTTTGCTGGTGCTGGGTTCATGCTGGTACAGTCTACACTGGACTGTGATCCACTCTCACCCAGGTGTGACAGACTTTTCCTGCTAATCTTCTAAGTTGTCTTTGGCAGGAAAATTATGGCATTATTTAAAGGTTTTTGAGAAGTTTTGAAGAGAGCTCAGGTGAGTCGCTGCCTTTTTTCCATCTTAGCTCCATACTTCTGGGCTCTCTGTATTTCTAGCCTGAATTTGTCGATCATATTGCTAGTTTCTTGGCTTATTGAGTATTGTGATATCAAAGACAGCTAAAACTGTAGACCTGCAAGGTTTCAGTGCTCTCAAAGTGATTTTATCCATGGCAAAGTCTGCAAATTGTTAACCTTTGTTTGGATGTGATCAGCATTCCTATAGGCTTGCCCCTGGTTGGAGTTCCAGTGGCCTGATGGTGGACTCAACCACTTAACCAGTTAGAAAGCTCTGCTGATTCAGAGTGTTAGAACCATAGACTTCTCTTTGACCTCTGCTCTGGCCATGAAATTGTTTCTTGCTTCTGAATTTGCTCTTAGATCAGTATACATCTTAAAGCCCAAGACCCCACCTCCTCATCCTGGAATCTATTTCATTCAGCCTTTTCGTCTTGTTTCTCCAAATGCATATATTTAATCACACGTTTCCTCTGCTCAAAAACCTTCAGTGGCTTTCTACACTTGACCAAATAAAATATAAATTCCTTACTGTGACATTGAAGGTACTATTTCATGTAGTTCTAATCTACATTTCCATGTAGATTTCATGGCATTCTTCATGCATTTTATACTTCAGCTAAACTGTTGCTACTTGCTTTTCTGCAGACTTTCTTGCCCTCTCGTCCCTGTGCCTTTGCTCACACAATTTCCCTTGCCTAGAATGTCCCTTCCTATGGACAGACAGCATTCTTGTGCTTCAAGGTTGAACTCCAATACATCATTCATGATGTATTTTCTGAGGGCTTCATTTAGAGGTGACTTTTCTTTCTATTTTCCTTAATCACTTTTCTGTAATTATTTCCCAATTTGCATCAAAGTTGTATTTCTTTCTTACCTCACCCATCACGGTAAGCTCTTTGAGGGCTGGGAGGGAAGGAACAAGAATTTATAAAGTTCCTTACCAATATCATCATATTTGACCCTTACAAATGAGACAGGTACTATTATTATCACTGTTTTACATTTGAGGAAACGAAAACTGACAGAAATTGTGGCTTGCCCAGGGTCACACATCTTCTGAGACCAGATTTTAACTCAGGTCTTCCTTACTCTAGGCCCAGTGCTCTTTCTTCTCAGCTGCCTGCTTTATATTTTGTATTTCCAAATTTCTTTGTATCTTTGTATTTCCAAATCCTAAGTCAGTGGTAGTTAACAAACGTCTATTAAACTGAAATTAGTACAACTCCGTTACCTAAAAGAGTAAAACCAAATTACCTTATGAATAAAATTTTAAAATCCCAAATTTATTATCTTTACCAGAAAGCTAATAACTTGAAGAAAGGGAAATGTATTTGTATTTAGTGTTAAGAGCTTAAGTTTTTTCAATTAAAAATCTTTTCAAGTCTCCCCCTTCCCCCACACACCCCACTACCACCAGTGGAAAAATAAAAGAAAAACAAAACTTTTGTAATATAGTATATGCATAGTTAATAAAAACAAATTCCTGCTTTGGCCATGTCCAAAACTATGACTCATTCTGTATCCTGCATCTATCATTTGTTTAGGAGATGGATAGTATCCTTCTTACTGGTTTTTTAGAATTATGGTTGGTCCTTGCATTGATTAGTTAAGTCTTTTAAAGTTGTTATTACATAAATTATTCTCTTAGTTCTATTCATTTCACTCTATGTTAGCACAAATAAGCTTTCCTACGTTTATCTCAAACCAACTATTTCATCATTTCTTACAGCCTAATAGTATTCAGTTAATTCATATACAGTAATTTGTTTAACCATTCCTTAGTTAATAGGCTTATAAGTGCTTTTTCTCTTTCTTTGTTCTTTTTTAACATATTACTAGATCACAGCGTATGCCAGATTTATTCACTTTTGGGGCATAACTCCAAATTGCTTTCCAGAATAGCTGGACCAATTAACAACTCCATCAATGGTGCATCGATGTGCTGTTTTCCTACAACCCCACCAGTATTTATCATTTCACTTTTTGGGCATTTTTATACAAGTAAAGTTGTATTATTTTGTTTTTCCTATTAATTTGGAGTATGTGAATTAATTCTTTTGTAAAACATTTACAGAAAAATATTTTCATTTCTGCAAATAATCTATGTTATCTTATAGTTAATGTCAGAAAAGCCCTGTTGTCAAAAGGAATATACTGGAATGTACTGTTGTTAATGATGAAGCATTTACATTTCCCTGAAGTGGCTGAAAGCGGATGCAAAATGTTAAATCATCTTTTGGAAGGAAGGTAATGGCAGAATTACGGGGATATCGAATGTGCCTGATTTTGGATCAGATAAAATTTTGTTATAAACTGTTTTTAATGATTTCAAAAATTTGAATGTTAAAACTGTTTTTTGAGGAATATGGTCCTATATCTGTTAATTTTGTAGTCTCATATAATCTTAGATATAAGGCCCTTCAGTTATAGAAAGCACCTTTATTTCTAGAGTTTAGAATTACTACTTAAAACTGCAACTTTTATTCACAGCTGGTAGATTTAAAAGGGGGAAAATCTGTAGTTGCATTCATAGACAGTACTTAATTATACTTCAAGCTCTTTATTAAGTGATGATAGCTATCTTACTGTATACATTATGTGTTATCTCATTTGATCCAGTGGTAAAAGAGAAATAGATACAAGCAGGGAGAAATCTCCTTAGCTATCTCTCTAATGCAGCTGACTTAGATTTGGACCCTACTAACTGACTACCATTCAAACCCATTAGTAGGGCTCCATAAAATTTTTGATTTCCCATACAAGGTACTGAATTTTAAAACTGATTAAAATACATAAAGAAGACAGGAAAAAGTTACTGGGACAGGAGTAATTTCCAAATGAATAGCTGATTGTATAGTATCACACCAAATTAGAAGAAAGTGTATACATGAGAAGATATTTCATTGCAATTACTGTAGCTGCAAGCTAATTGTTTGATCAGTACTGGCAAATGAGAAATGAAGGTGCAAAAGTGCTTTAAAATTATGCATAAAAATGCCCTTGAAATGATTTTCAATCTCAGGAATACATGTGAGACTTTAAATTATTGTAGCTGGAAATTAGTCAGTTTAATTATTCAAAATTTTTTTATAAACAAGGTTAAATTTTTGCTAACTGCTAAAAGCAGTACAGATTGATTTCCATAAATTTTTAGAAAACTTTCACAGTTGTTTTTATCGACTTGACAAAATTTAGTAATGTTGATGATAAGCATAAATATGTTTTCTTTGCTGTTTGGTCATATTTCAAATATTTTTATAATTTAAAATTAAAAACTATTTTCAAAATTATTACATTCCATTGAGGAAAATATCTAGATGTAATATGTTACATATGAGAATTTTATCTATGGAGAAGAAATTAATATTTGTAGCTTAAAAAATCTGTCATGTGACAATACTGAGCCCTAGTAAATGCCATACCAGTTTTTACACAGGAAATCCCTTTTCTTCCAGGAGAATACACTTTGTAGTATGTATAAAAATTTAATAAGAACGTGGGAAATTTGATTGACTTTGGTAGCTTAACACACTGACCCACATTTCAGTTGCTGTTAAATTTCTTGTATATTCAGTCTAAAAAATTACTTTGACAGTGTTCCAAGGTTTATTGTATACAATTTTAATTGAATTAAAATCCTGCATATAACATCAGTCTCTCATGTCGTGGTTTTGAATATGTAGATGTTCTTTGTAGTATGCTTCACTTTTTATCATTTATTTAAATTCCATATCTTCAGTAACCTTCACCTAGATGTAATGGCATCAGTGACATCTAACATAATAAAAGTTATGAAAAGTCACAAAACCTCATCAACAGTGCAGCTGGAGGCACTTCAAACTATTTTACATATTATTGTCCCAGGTAAGTGATATAATTGCTTTTGTTTGCCAGAGGTAAGGAAATGGCAGAAGTTAGATTGATTTCTGATCTATCATTAAGTATCTAGTCATTTTGTTGCAAATAATAAAATATTTTTAGCCTAACTTAAACACAATCTCACGTTTCGAAGGTCTAATTTTTGTAGAACCAAACAAATTTCATACGTCTATACCAATAGTAAAAAGGTAGATGAGGGTCAAGGATCCTTAGAGGACAATTTAAAAAAGAAATACATTCATATAAAGTAATGTGATCAGTGAGCTTTGATATTGAGCAACTTTTAATACTATCATTGTCATTATGCAACACATTTTTAGAATTCTTTGGAAATTGCCTTCACCTTCAGAAGACTGAAGATCAATTACACTATCCACCTCATGCCAGAGAAGTGATAAGACGATATAACCCAGAATGCGACATACAATTTTGGACACGGCCAATGCAGGAATTTTTTTGTTGGACTATGCCTGTTTGTTAAGGGTTTTGTTTCGGGGGCAGCTAGGTGGTACAGTGGATAGAACACTGGCTCTGGAGTCAGGATGACCTGAGTTCAAAACCGGCCTCAGACACATAACACTTACTATCTGTGTGACTCTGGGCAAGTCACTTAACCCCATTGCCTAGCCAAAAAAAAAAAAAAAGTTTGGTTCTTTTTCCCCTGCCCTCCTCTCTGCAGATCAGTAGAGGGAAGGGGCTGTGAGAAGGGTAGAGATAATAAATTAATTTAAATATTTAAAAGGAAACCTTTTAAAAATTACTTTTGGAGTCTATAGGCACATTCTTTCAAATATCCTCAGTTGTTAGTTATAAGCCTCCTTTGAGGACTAGATTTGATTTTTTTTTTCCAGACAAAAACCATTCATTGTCAAATTTGGTGAATTAGATGAGTGATAAAGTTAAGAATCTGTTGGGGGTTATAAACCAAGTGGTAACTATAACAAATAGTGATTTTATTTTGTGCATTTTTCTTAATTTTTTATTAATTTTTAACATGTGTTTTTAAAACTTTGGATTACAGATTTTCTCCCTTCCTCCCTCCCCACCCCAGTAATATGCCATACCAGTTTTTACACATTGAAAAGGCAAGCATCTCGATACAGGTTATAGATGTATAGTCATGCAAAACACTTCCATAGTAGCGATGTTGTGAAAAACTAAGTATATTTCCCTTCATCCTATCCTATTCTATTCTCTCTTTTGACCCTGTCCCTCCTTAGAAGTGTTTGCTTTTGATTATCCCCTCCCCCAGTCTGCCCTCCCCTGTATCAACCCCTGCTCTCTTGTCCTCTTCCCCCCTTATTTTCCTGTAGGGTAAGATAGATTTCCATACTGCATTGTGTATGTTATTCCCTCCTTAAGCCAAATCCTATGAGAATAAGATTCACTCATTTGGAAGAAGTTCTAAAAGATATTCTAAAAATGTTTTAAGCATTGTTGGTGTTGTTGAAATAATATATGTCCTTCCTGGGGTAACTACTTGAAAGATTAGCATTTGTTGATTTACGTGTTTTAGTATGTGTCTTTCCTGCAAGAGAAAGAACTTTAATTTGGCAGAATGGGAAGGCCTTTCAAGCCTCTCTCTTCAGCTTAAAAGAAAGCTCTAGGTGTGAGCATGATAAATTTTTGGTTGGTAGTCTTTTTAAACTTTCCTTCTTTTTCTGGAAGTTTCTGTTTTCTACCATTTTTATTACCCTTTTTCTGTGTTCCAGATAGGGTTCAGTTTTCTTACAGGCTATCTCTGGCATACCAGTTTACTGAACTGGTTTTATGATACTGTGTTTAAACTTCTTGTTTTTAGGTCCCTCTACTTTAGCCTTGTGCTTTATGTGCCTATTTTTAGGATCCACTGCTAATAGTTTCCTTACCAGGTCTTTCACTGTAACCTGACCAGGTTGATTTTGCCTGGTTGGTTTTGCTACCTATGCTTTCCCTGAACACATCCATCTCACTTTGTCTTTAATGATGGATTAAAATCATGGAGGGGGTGTGGCTTCCTTTCCCTAACAATACAGGTGGGACAAGGCAGTATGTTTGTTTTAAAATAGTGTCAAAAAAAAAATTAGTGTCATTCCATTGTAGTCACCTTTTGTATATTTACAGACACATCTATAAACATGGAAACATTTAATATTGGTATTATGCATGACTGAGTGCTACAGTCTCAATTACTAATCTCAACTAGGCAATGAAGAACTATACAGGGCCCTTTTATTCATCTGTCATACTCTCTATATCAGCTTTTGCAAACATTTCCTCTTTTTTAAAAACCTCTAATTATACTTCCAGCCTTTTCTCTTTCAGAAGATGTAAAGTTTACTACTTTATTAAGAAAATTAAAGGCTTCCCTTTTGTTTGCCATGTCTTCTCCATGTCTCAAAACCTCTGTCCTTATAACTTCTTTACCCTTTAACCTCAGAGTATGAGATGACTTCCTCCTTTCTAAAATTAACTCCTCCACTTATGCCTTTGATTTTCTTCCCTTTTGTCTCCTGTAGTACTTTGCTTTATTGGCTCTTTCTTTTTATTTATTTATTTATTTTGGTTTTGCTTTTCTGCTAGGCAGTGGGGTCAAGTGACTTGCCCAGGGTCACACAGCTAGTAAGTATCAAGTGTCTGAGGCCAGATTTGAACTCAGTTCCCGCCAACTCCAGGACCAGTATTCTATCCATTACACCACCTAGCTGCCCCTATTTTTTTATTTTTTTTATTCAGTCTCTTTCCCTACTCTTTACATTACCTTGTTTACAAACATGCTCTTTTCTATCCTGTAATAACTTTGTCTTGATTTGCTATCTACATAAATATGTGCTCCTATTTTTCTTTACTTCTTCATCACCAAATTTGATACTAGACTTCTAGAGTGTCACCTATAATTTGCTTCCTCCATTTCCTCACCACATACTCTTCAACTCCCTGTAGTCTGGCAGTGATCTTTTTTAAATTGTTATTTTTATTGTATTTTCTGTATCAGTTGATGCTTTTGATTACCTCTTCGTAATACTCTTTCCTGCTGTGATGGCTCTGCTCTCCTGGTTATCCTCCTACCTTGACTATTACTCCTCCGTACCCTATGAAGATATATATTCTTAATTCTTTGGAATATCTCGTAAAGTTTTGTCTTTCCACTTTTTTTTTCACTTTCTCCATACATTTCATATACTTTAGCAGTTCCCTTTATGTATCTCTCAAATCTGTACTGCCACTTTCAAACCTATGCTGGAGCCTCTAGTACCATATTTTCATCTGCCTGTTAAAATCTCCACCTGAATGCCTCACTAGGTTCTCCAACTTATCGTGTCCAAAATTCTACCATGTAATCTCCCTTTAAACATCCCTGCCAAAATAAAAATTTTCTTCTCCTGGTCTGTATTAGGTTATGGTATAGAGCAACTAGGTGGTGTAGTGATAGAGTGTTTGATCTGCAGTCAGGAAGACTCATTTTCCTGAATCAAATCTGGCTACAGACACTAGTTATATGACCCTGGGCAAGTCACTTAACCCTGTTTGCCTTAGTTTCCTCATCTGCAAAATGAGCTGGAGAGGGAAATAGCATACCACTGCAGTGTCTTTGCCAAGAAAACTCCAAATGGGGTCACAAAGAGTCAGACGCAACTGAAACAACTGAACAGAAAGCAATTATGATCTCAGATAAAGCAAAATCAAAAATAAGCCTAATTAAAAGAGTTAATCAGGGAAATTGCATTTTTTGAGAGGAAGCTAGGTGGCACAATGGATAGAGTTCCAGGCCTAGAGTCAGTAAAACAGTTCAAATCTGGCCACAGAGACTAGCTGTGTGACCCTGGGCAAGTCATTTAACTCTGGCTCAGTTTCCTCATTGGTAAAATGAGCTGGAGAAGGAAATGGCAAAACATTGCAGTATCTTTGCCAAGAGAACCCCAAATGGGGTCACAAAGAGTTGGACACAACTGAACAACAACTACAGCTAGGAATTTAATGAAATATTTTTGAAATAATTATCTGTATATTTATTTAAAAAAGAGAACTGTGATGAGTCAGTTTAGAACATTATAGCATTTTCTATGAAATATCTTAAGGGTACTCATTATGAAATTAATTGGATTAAAATGGGGATTTATTTATAAAGAATTATCACCACACTCTTTGGTTTTCAAAATACCATCAGTTATCAGTGATTGTGTTATTTATTGCATGTCTGACTTCTAACTTTTTTATATTGTTGTTTGCACAATGCTATAATATTGCCAAATGTGTCTTCTTTTTCTGTAATTAAACTATATTACTACTATTTTCTTTGCCATGGCATCTGGTTTTATCTTTGTTACATATCACATCTTATATCTGACCATCCCTTGTCTGTCAGACATTCATGACTGAATTTTCTCTTAAATAATGTGGTATTGGTTGAAGTCATTTTAGTTCCTTAATCTCAGCCTACCATCTCCTTGAAAACAAACAAAAAAAAGATCTTATTTTGTCAGATAATTCTTTTTAGTTATGTTTTTGTCCTTCATTTGTATTCACCAACTATGTACACAGACTGTTCAGTCCATATTTTCTACTTTGTCATGTAGTATTAGATTATGTAAACTCTTTACAAGTTTTCTTCTGAGTGTCAAAAAGTTGAACAAATAGTTTACAGTTTACTGAAGTAGAAGTAAACAGAAGCCTATTAAATTTTCAAATTTTCCCAAAAATAACTAGTAATTTGTTCCATTGTGTTTAGAACCAAAAGAGGAACCTGAGGAAGATGCTTTATTAAATATAAATCTGAAAGTAGTTAAAAACCAATGCCTATTGAATGACATTCACAAACTGGTTCTAGATGCTTTAAATAAGGTATGTTTAGAAACTCATTTTCCTTTTCTATAGTATCCCAACAGTAAATGTTACTAAAGTGTTCTTATTTATGTTCCCTCTAGAACTAAAAATTAATTTACTTTTGTTCTTCTTACTAACATTAATAGCCAGAAGGAGTGATGTTTTATAATGCTGGCAAGACTATTAGATTTTATTACCTGTCATTTACTCATAATCCTATATGAGATGCATGGTATAGTTGATAGAGCAACCCTCCTGAGTTATTGAGGATTTCCATTCAGGTCTTGACTCTGATACACTTTAGCTCTGTGATCTCAAGCAAGTCACTGAATTTTCAAGTGCTACCAGCAGTTCTCTAAGACTGTAAGTTGCCAAATATTTGCTGATTAATGGAAGGAGTTTCTGTACTAAGAATTTCTTATGCCACAAAAATATATATGTGTGTGTATATATATATATATATATATATATAATCACTAGAGTAAAAAAGACTGGCTTTTCTTTATAATATCATTGTAAAAATTGTTTTCCTAGTTCTACTTATTTCATTCAGCATCAGTTCACAGAATTTTCTCTGAAAGCGTCCATTTCATAATTTCTTACGGTACAATAATATTGTTGCATTCATGTACCACAGTTTATTTAGCCATTTCCCAGTGGGGAGAGGACCCCCTTACTTTCCAATTTTATTTGCTAGGAAACAAGATACTATAAATATTTTTGTACATATAGGTGCTTTTCTTCTTTTTTTTGATCTCTTAGGAGTGTTGGCCTAGTAATGGTATATTTTGGTCAGAGGGCATAAGGACATTTAATAAGTTTTTGGACATAGTTCCAAATTACTTTCCAGAATGACTGGACCATTTCCCTGCTCTGCCAATGTTGACTGTGTTTTCAGTGATTTTTTGAAAGATGCTAGAGAATTAGAGAAAAAAAAAATCCAGATTTTATTAAAAAAAAAAAGAAAAAATGTGGAGCTTGCTCAGTCAGCCTGATTTCAGTTTTTGGCAAAATTCTAGAAAGTACCATGGGAATAGTTAGTATAATAAACTTCCAGAAAAGAAAGTAGTGATAACAGGAAAAAAAAAAAAAGACAAAACCAAGAACATCAAGAACAGGTTATGCCAGACACACCTTTTTTGACATAGTTATTAGACTGTTAGATCAGGGGAATGCCATATATATGATTTACTTAGATTTTAGAAAAGAATTTGATAAAATTTCTCAGTATTCTTGGGGAAAAGAAGAAGAGACATGGGCTAATTGATATTACAGTGGGTTGGATTAAGAACTGCTTGAATTTGTGGACCCATAAAATATTTATTAGTGGTTCTTTATTAGTCTAAAAGGAGGTTTCCAGTAGCGTGCCACAGGAACTAGTGACTTGCTCCTATATAGTTTAACAATTTTGTCAATTCTTTGAATAAAGAATAAAACAAATTTGCAGATAATGCAAAGCTACTAGGGAGAGTTAATATATTAGATGAAAATGAGATCCAAATATATCTCAAAAAGCTAGACTGTTAGGCCACCAAGACTGTACAAGCTGACCCAGGACCTGACACATGTTTTGCAACAAAACCTAATCCCATATTCCAGTTTTCCTTGCCCTCTTTCTCATGTAGATGAACCCTTGCTCCAGGATACACAGGTTTGCTTGAGTCAATACAGAAAGAGCTACAGCAACCCTTCAGGAACAGAAGCCTGCTGGGGGTCTTGACCAGTGCCAAGGTAGGACAACCTTACAGCAACAATACTCCAAAGCTATGAACTACCAGGGCTCAGCTAGAGAAATGAGGAACAGTGAGAGCAGAAGAGGACACTTGGAAAGAAAACCATGTTGGGAGAGAAGGGGAGGGGGAAGGGAGAAAGATGGCTTTGTAGCACTCTGCTAATTATAATTGAAAGAGCTTAGCATCCAGATAGGGCCAGTTCTGTTTGCCCAGAAAATCACTTGGGGCAGAGACCTAGGTTGGTGAACCATGAATTAACCAGTGTGGGAGGGGGCTGAGACATTTTCAGATCTATCCCCAAAGGAAATCACTATCAGAGGAAAAAGAGTCAAAAAGTTATGAATAAAGGAGAATAAAACAACCCAAAACTAAGGAAATTACCAAAGATCTCAGGAAAAAGAAAACTTAAAAATCTTAAATATAAGCAGATAAATTGGCAGCATGAACAACAGAAAGAAATATGGCCTCCAGATCTAGTAAATGAGTTTAGGCTTTTGTGAATAAATACTACAACAAAGAAAAATGATCTAATACTTGATGAGACTAAGCAACCACAATATTGCTAATCCTGAGTGAGTCAAAAGAGAAATGAGAATTATGCGAGAGGCCTACAAAGCAAAAATACTAGGCATAATAGAAAAACTGGCAAATCTTACCAAAGAAAGTACAGGAGATTGGGTCAACAAATTTTTATACAAATAAGTGGAGGACAATCTAGAAGAAAAGAAGCAAAAAACACAACACTAAAAGAGAATATATGCTCTCTATGTAAACGAAGCATAATGACCTCAAAGACAGAATGTGTAGAGCCAACCTAAGGATTATAGATCTTCCAGAGGAACATGACAAGAAGCAAAGTCTGAATACCATAATGCAAGAAATAATACAAGAGAACTGTTCAGAACTTCTAAACACTGATAATGAAAAAAACAATTGAAAGAATTCATAAGTCTCATCCAGAAAAAAAAAAAAAACTAAACTAAAACCAAGGTTTGGAAACTCCAAGGCTGGTTAAACCTAACAATTTAATTCAGAAACAAAAAGTTCTGTGGGCAATCAGGAGAAAGACCTTCAAATACGAAGGAAACAAAATTAAAATAACACAAGATTATTCTATACTCACCAGATAAAGCAGGAGGGAAGTAATAATGTGTTCCAAAGATCAAGGGAGGTCAGGATGCAGCCCAAGTTAATTTTCATGTGAATAAGAGTTTATCCATAAATGAAAAAAACATGGACATTCAGTAATAAAGAGGCATTTGAAACATCCTCAGAAAGAAAACCAGAACTGAAGAAAGAAATGTAGGAGGGATGAATAAATGTAATAGCCAACGACAGCAGCAGCAACAGAATGATAGCAGAGATACCAGTAAGAGACTTCTTTCTTATGTACTCAAGGAGACAGGGATAAAGGTATAAGTCTGATAGAAGTAGGGATGAGGTATTTCACAGACAGAACTTGGTGACAACCTACAGGTGAATCAATGTTTTCTGTGAGATCACATTACAGCTTTGGGAGGGGGGGTGGGTAGAGGATAGAGAGGAATGTGTGATGTGCCCAGGTCAAATTGAAGGCTAGCAAAGAGGGAAGGTGATCTCTGTAAATAAGAAAGGAGTCTGCAGAGGAATGAGAGAGTAGGAAGGGCTAAAGATTGGAAAGGGGAAGAGGAAAAGAAGGCAGCCTTCCTTTGGTAATGAGAGAGGGAAATCAAATGCAGAAATACAAAATCAGAGATGTGTAGTTAGTACTTGCTATGACAAAAGACTTGAGGACTTAAAAAATCATATACTGACCTTGTGCCACACTAAATATGTATGAGACTATATGAGATAACAGTATGATATGGCTGTCATACTATTATAGCTAATAAAACTTAAAAAAATAAAAAATATAGCTAATAAAAATTAAAAAGTAAAAAAAAATTAATTCTAATAGATTTATAGGATTTCGAGCTAGGAGGAAATAATGACCTTGAATTTTACACCTAGAGAATAGCTCTTTTGGTGTCGAGTCTGCTGTCTGAAGGTCAACCCACTAGGCCACTCGGCATCCATGAAGTAGAGAAAAATTGTAAAGGTCCTCAGGACTTGTGGATCTTATGCTTCCACGGTGAAGAAAGGGGCAGAAGGCAACAAGAACTATAACTGTATTTTAGACCATCAGTAAAGATTAATCTAAATCCCTATGTCAGGGATTAGCTAACAATGCATAGTCTGCTGCATATTTTTGTGTTGTCCAATGAGCTAAGAATGATTTTTATGTTAAAAAGTTTTACTATATTTAAAAATTTAAAGACCATTCTTAGTTCAAGGGCAATAAGAAATAAAAGCTGGGTTGGATTCCTCCTGGAACCATAGTTGGTTGACCCCTGCTTTAAATTAATAAATGAACTAATATTTATTAATCATCAGTTCTAGGCACTGCACTAAGCTCTGGGAATATGAATGTAAAGAATGAAACAATCTGGACTCACAATGAGCTTACATTCTAGTGGAGTAGACATCAAATTTATGTTATATTATATATAAACACATATACACGTACACGTGTGTGTATTATGTATGTATACATATATAAAGTACTTAAAGTAAATTACTTTACCAGCAATGTGTAGGATATATATACGTATATATGTATATATACATATATACGTATATATATATAGCACTAAAGAGAAAGCACTAATTGGGGGGTGAGGAGGGTAGGCCAAGAAAAATGTTATAATAAATTGTAGAAGAAGAAAGGGACTCCCATGAGATGAAGTTCAGAAAGAAAAGCACTGGTGGCACAGTGGAAAGAGCTCCGGCCTTGGAGTCAGAAGGACCTTCATTCAAATGTGGCCTCAGACACTTGACACTTACTAGCTGTATGACCCTGGGCAAGTCACTTAACCCTGATTGCCTCACCAAAAAAGCAAAAAAAAGAAAAAAATACACTTCAGTTTTAGGAAATGGACAGTTCTAAACCATAGTAACGGGAGATGCAATGTTATGAGTGACAAATTGTTAAGAAAAAAGGTTAATTTGGCTGCATTGCAGAAAGAATTTTCCTAGAGGGAATAGGAGTTAAATAGGAGAGTCACATGGTCAGTGGAAAATTACTTTAGTGCTTAAGGTAAATTACTTTGTCAACAGTTTTGCAAGATAGACTGGAGTTTAGAGACACTTGACGTATAGAAAACAATTAGGGGTATTTTAATAATCTCAGTAAAAGACAGTAAGAGCTTGAACTTAAATGGTAATTGTGTTAGTGGTTAAAAGGAGTTAGATGAAAGAAATGTTATAAAGATAGAAATGGCAAGATTTGACAACGGATTGAGGTGAGGGGGAGTGAAGAATCCAGGATAATGCTAAGATTTCAAACCTGAGATACTAGAAGGATGCTGATGCCTTTGATAGAAATATGGAAATTTGGAAGAGGGAGGGTTTAGAGCAGGGGTTCTTCACCTGTGGTACCTTATATTGCTTAATGTAACATATAAATATAAATTTTGCTTGCTGAATTATGAATAACACATTCTTAATCAATGGATAGTTGAGAATGTCACACTTTGAGTCTAATGAAAAAACCTGCCTTCTGATTTATGTGGCTTAATTGACTTTAGATAGTAGAATTAGTAAGAAAATTCATGCAACATTGCTAACAAAAAAAATAAGAAAAATTATAAAGAAAAATGCCATTTAAAATAACAAAAAAGTATTATCTTGAAATTAACCATGAAGACACCAAAAAATCTCATGTGAACACAACTGTACAACATTATTTACAGAAATAAAAGAAGATTCAAAATTATCAAATCAACAGCCATTTATTCAGTGCCAACTGTGTGCCATATACTGTGTACTGAGGATACAAAGAAAGAGAAAAAACACTCCCTACCTTCAAAGAGTACATGATATAATGAAGTAGACAATATGAAAACCACTATTTTACAAACAAGATATATAGAAGGTAAATTAGAGCTTATCACAGAGATAATGATCTAGGATTAAGGAGAACTGGGAAAGACTTCCTACAGAAGGTTGAATTTTAGCTGAGACATTACTAAAGATTTTTATTTTAATTTTCTTCTTTTTTTGCTTGTAATAGCTAATGCCCTATCAATTCTATGGGTCTTTAAATTTTTTTTAAAAAATTTTTCAAAAATCAGTGTGGCTTAATATATGTACTAATATAATAAGATTACATATCAAAATTAGCTTACATATTTTACAATATACAAATCAAAATATCAGTGGAATGCTTCATAGAATTAAACAAAACAATAGCAAAATTTATATAAAAGAACAAAAATCAAGTGTATCAAAGGAATCAATGAAAATAAAGTAAGAAAGAAGGGAGCTTATAAATTCCAGATTATACAATTAAGCACATCACACTTATCAAATTGGCAAAGATGGCAAAAGATAGAAACAAATCAGTATTAGTGAGCCTGTCAATAAAAAGGCATGCTAATTTATTGCTGATAGAGATTTGGATTTGTCATAGAATTTTCAAAATCTTAAAACTCTTTGTCTTTAGAGGTCATCTAGTCAAACCCATTTGTGAAAGGGAATCTATTCCCTCTACAAAATACTTAAGGGGAATCCATTATATACCAAGGCAGCCCCTTCCACTTTTTGACATCTTTTATTGTTTTAAGTTTACCTGACATCAAGCCTAAATACACTTCTAAGCAACCTTCACTCATTGCCCTTAGTTCTACTCTTTGGAGATAAAGATAATATGGAGATAATAAACAAGCACTATAATGACCCAATCATGAGACAACTCCTGCCCTGACCCCCATCCCAGTTATCTCATTGAAACATTTCCAATTCCTTCAGCTAATCTTCACATAGATTTAACTTAAGTCTTTTAACTATCATTGCCTTACCCTAGACACTCTCCAACTCATAAATGTCTTTTATAACATGTGAAGTACAGAACTGAATGTAGTACTCCAGCTGTGTTCTGACTATGGCAGAGTACAGTCCTACACACTACTGCTCTCATAATGTTTCCTAAGATTATATTTGCTTTGTTGGTTTCCGTACATTGTCACTTACTCGTTCTGAGTTTTCAGTTCTCTAAAACCGTCAGATCTTTGTTTCAGACGAACAGCTGACTAGTCATACTTCCCTCGTGTACTTAATTCTTTAATCCAGATGTAACATTTTGTATTTGTATGTAATTTGTATGTAAATTTCATCTTCCTAGATGTGACTTATGGACAAAACTGGTCCCAACATTTCTTTAGGCACAGTGGAGTGCTACACAGCCAGTTCCCTCATTCCCACATGGTTTCCTTTCCCGGTGTCCTGTCCTCCTTCCCTATTTCTCTGGCTGGGCACTCGCAGTTAAGAACTTTGCAGCTTTGGTGCTGTAAAGTTGTCTTACTGGATGCTAGATGTCTGCCAGGGCCCCCAGCAGGCTTCTGCTCCTGAAGGGCTTGTCTTGGTGCTAGGGTTCACCTACACTGGAAAGAGGGCAGGGGGAATTGGAGTGTGGGGTTGAGTTTTGATGCAAGCCATGTGTCAGGTCCTTGGATCTTCTGGTATAGCCTTGTTACTGGTAATGTGGGAGAGGTGCTGAGTGAACTCATGGTAGGCATCAGTTGATGGTGTGTGTGTGTGTGTGTGTGTGTGTTTTTTTTTTTAACATTTTGAATTCTGAGTGTGTTAGACCATGGAGATGATTGTTGCTTTATCTTTGGCACATAATTTCTGTTTTGGAGAGGTTTGAGAAGTCATGGGGATCAGAGAAAATGCTTTGTCCTTCATGTCATTCACATAATATGGAAGGTGGAGACCAATTATAATGAAATATAGTTCTAATAAATTTCATGGACCCCAAGTTAACCCCTATTTTAGAGATGCTGTTGTGGTTTTCATCTGTCATTTGGCCTATGTGAATAATTTTTTCTTAATTTGTGAAGACTATGAACATGAGCGTTCTTCCCATGCTATAAAGACAAAGGGATGTCATGTTATAATATGAGACTTGTTTGTTTGCAGAGATTGATTTGATATAATTCTCCTTCCTAAGCATAAGAATTTAATGGGTTGCTTTTTACCTCAAACAGCATATTAACTTTGAAATTTTAGTATGATAAAAAATGCTGTGGTTACTTATTAATTTAAATATATTTTAAAGAATTAAGAAAAACCTAGAACTTCAAAGATAAGTTTTAAATTTGAATATAAGGATAATAATATATAACATTATGAGAGTAACAGGTCCTCTTAAGAAACTAAAACTGTAATGTTGTTAGTTAAAATACATATTTATTGAAATAATTCTTGGAATCTTGTATTAAATAAGTAAAGAATTGTGACTTTGCATATGTAGTTTTGATAATATCTATATGTAAATATCCTTGGCATGAGAGGATAGTAAATCCTAGTTTTGAATGAACAATCTTTTTTTATTTGCCTGTTAAAAATACTTTTTCTTATTTAAATTTTTAGTTTATTGGAAATCCTGGAATTCAAATATGTGGATTAAAAATAATTTCTTCTTTAGCAAATTGTTCTGGTGCCTTAGAAATGTTTTCTCAGCAAGGGGCCCTTGATTCAGTACTTCATACACTACAGATGTATCCAGTTGACAGAGGTCAGTAGTGTTTTTTATTAAGTAGGTAAGATTTGGAATAACTTGGTATAGGCCAATCCTCTATCTGATCATATTCAACACTTTTTAAAAAGATTACTTTCTTTTAAAAATAAGCAAACACATACATATACAAAATTGTTATTGTGGGGAAAGGTTGAAAATTTACATCTACCTTCAATCATTTCAGAGGTTATAGAATGATGGGTGTGGAATATTGCATATACAGCCACGCGTGACTGATATGTTCATTAGTTTTGCTGAAGTGTTTTTTTTTCTTTTCTATTTTTAACTCTTTGCTATAAGGTGGGGGGGGAAGAGGAATACCTTAGAAAAAATGATGCAAAAACAAAATGCAGCAATAAAAATAAGAAATATTTTAATTGCCTTCTTCTTGGTTTTGAGAGCCATTATTATTATGTTCACTTTTTTCTTGTCCTAGTAATTCAGTGCCTCGGTTTGAGTCTACTAGGATGTTTGGTTACTGAAAAGAATTTGTGCACAGAAACTCAGGATCTGCTTGCAAATATTCTGGTTTCCAGCTTAAAACAATTTAAGGATGTTGTTGAAATACAGATAAGTGTATGTGAATTATTTTAAAGCAAATTTAAGTGTATGTATAATTTTCTTTTTATGGTAGCTATTTCAACCCCATTTGACCAGAGATGGACATCTCTTGAATACACATTCACAAAATCAGAATGTTCAGCATATTTCATCAGCATACTTATATACATTAGCGTATTTCATCAAGGCAGAATTTGACATAAACATTTTTAAAGCAAGCACTTGGTATAATAATATAATTTATATTAGTATTTTAAAATAGTTTTGACTTTGTAGAACCTCTTGAAAGTGTCTCAATGGTATTGAGGTGTCTCTGGACCACATTTGAGAACTGATCTAGTCCAATCCCCTCATTTTAGAAATATGAAAAAAAAAAAGACCCAGAGAGATGATTTGCCAAGGTCACAGAATTTTACTGTTATACTATCTCTATTCTGTAATTTAAAGAAAATAAAATATTATTAGACTGAATTTAAAATAGCATTAATTGGAATATTCAGATTTTGTGCAATAGTAGTTGTACGACTAAATGTAATATCCCAAATTTTAAGTACATTTACCAGATTCTTTTTATTTTGCTCTTTTTGTCATTGGTTGTTTACTTCATCTTTCTGTGTGTGTCATATTTTCAGGGATTTCAAACAACTTTGGCAATACTTGAATTATCACTTGGCTTTGCAAAGTTGCTGCTAAGTCATCATTCATATGACTCACTAATTTTCTATCAGATGTCCAGGTGTTATACTGAACAAAGGGATCATCAGGTAAACATTTCTTCCTACTTTTAAGTTAAAGATCATGGATTTATCTGTTCCTCAGTTGCCATTTCCTTTCTTTCTTTGTAGTTTCAGAATCTTTGTTGCAAATTCTTTGCCAGAATAACTTGTGATGATGATGTTAAAAATGTACTACTGGGGAGAGCCTGTGAGCAAAACAATAGCATTATGGCTGAATGCCTCCTCCTTTTGGGAGCTGATATTAATAAAGTGACTGGAAAAACTTCTTTAATCTGTCAGGTAAATATTCAAATGGATATAATTATTTTAAAATAAGAATAGAAGTGGTGAGGAAGGAGTACATTCCAGTTTGGGATGATTGCCAGTGCAAAAAGAGTGACAGAGAGTGCCATTTATGAAGCAGAGTAAGCAAGGAAAGTTTGCCTGGACTGTACTGTGCATGGATGGAAATGATGAGGAATAAGGCTGTAAAAGTAGGTTATTAAAAGCTTCAAATGCCAAAAAAGAAGAGCTAATATTTGATCTTGGAGGTAGAAATGTATCATACTCACACTTTAAGAAAATGATTTTGGTAGGAGTTGGAAGGATGAATTGGAGTGAGGAGAGATTGGAGGGAGGGAAACCAATTAGAGAACTATTGTAATAGTCTAGGCATGAGATGATGAGAGCCTGAGATAGGTGACAGTAAGTAGAGACAGGGAAAAGATGAGGCAGATATTGTTGTTGTTCATCCTTTGTTCTCAAATTGGGCCAATGACATCACAAGGGTGATGTCTTGACTTGCTTGTGAATTGGATAAGAGTGAGACAGAACAAAGCAGAGTTATCAGCCTCAATCTCTTCTCCAGAATCATCAAAGTCCAGTGACAAGACAATGGTCAAGACTGGCTATGACCCAGTATGCACAGAAAATATGCTATGAAGAGTTGAAGGGGCTAAAAGGCAATGACTACGTGATCTTATTAAAGTGATAATTTATCTTTTTGGTAAAACACCTTCCAGCATCTAATCTTTATCATATATGATTCTTGTCAGTGACATTTGGAAAATCCTTCAAAGGGAATTTTCTCAAAGTAATGGAGGTCTTTCTATGATTCTTTTAATATTTATTATTATTATATTATCTTTCTTCTATACAATGTAATACATTATAATAATATATTAGTTAGCTAATACTATACCAATATTATATAATAATAATAATAAATATGGTTATTTTAGTATTTCACAAAAGCCATTATGAGGCTGTCCATCCTCCAATCCCTCAACTTCTCGGTTCTTTCCCAGGCCATTATCACTTTCCTTATGTCATGGTCCTCTTCGAGAACAAAGAAGGACAAAGATCTGTGGGCTTTTCTTGCCAACAGTAACCTTTCTAAATACACAAGTGATCCCATTCTATCCCGTCTTCTCCAGCAGATTGTCTTATCCGTCTTCTTTATTCTTTTACTTATCTTCAGTCTTACTTTTTTTTCTATCTACAAACACATCCATATCTCCTTCATCTTTTTTTAATAGTATATTTTTTTTCCTAATTACATGTTAAGACAATTTGTAGCATTCATTTTTATAAGATTTTGATTTCCACATTTTTCTCCCCCCTTCCTGCCCTCCTTTCTTCCTAAAATAGTAGGCAATTTGATATAGATTATGCATGAGCTATCAAGTAAAACCGATTTCCATGTTAGTTACAGTTGTGAAAGAAGAAACAGATCAAAAGGCAAAAAAATCATAAGAAAGAATAAAGTAAGTGAAAAGAGTTTACTTTGATCTGCATTCAGAGTCCATCAATTCTTTATCTGGATGTGGATAGCATTTTCCTTAATGAGTCCTTCATACTTGTCTTGGATCACTGTGTTGCTCAGAAGAGCTGAGTCATTCGTAATTGATCATCACACAATGTTGCTGATAAGGTGGACAATGTTTTCATGATTTTGCTCATTTCACTTTGCATCAGTTTGTACAAGTCTTTCCAAATTTTTCTGTAATCTTCTGTTCCTCATTTCTTTTTTTTTCTTTTTTTTCTCATTTGTTACTGCACAGTAGTATTCCATTACATTCATAATGAATAAATGAACATGAACAACTTGTTCAGCCATTTCCCAGTTGATGGGCATCCCCTCAATTTTCAGTATTTTGCCACCACAAAAAGGGCTACTATAAATATTTTTGCACAGGTAGGTCCTTTCCCCCTTTTTATGATTTCTTTGAGATACAGACCTAGTAGTGGTATTGCTGGACCAAAGCATATGCAGTGTTTGCTTGCCCTTTGGGCATAGTTTCAAATTGCTCTCCAGAATGGTTGAATCAGTTCCCAACTCCACAATGGTACATTAATGTACCAATTTTCTCACATCCTCTCCAACACTTATCTTTTTACTTTTTTTGTCATGTTAACCAATCTGGTAGGTGTGAGATGGTACCTCAGAGTTGTTTTAATTTGCATTTCTCTTATCAATAGTGATTTAGAGCACTTCTTCATATGCCTGTAAATATAGGCATATCTTCATCTGAAAACTGCTTGTTTTCGTATCCTTTGAGCATTAATCAATTAGGAAATGGCTTGTATTCTTATAAATTTGACTCAGTTCTCTATATATTAAGAAATGAATCCTTTGTCAGAGAACCTTGCTATAAAAATTGTTTCCCAGCTTTCTGTTTTCCTTCTAATCTTGGTTGCATTAGTTTTGTTTGTGCAAAAGCTTTCAATTTTAGTATAATCAAAATTATCTGTTTTACATTTCATAATGCCCTCTATCTCTTGATTGGTCATGAAATGTAACTCACATAACTTCTCCTTTAAGAACTTGGATGCTATACCACTTGGTGAACATATGTTTAGTATTGATATTACTTCATTGTCTATGGTACCTTTTATCAAGTTTCCTTCTTTATCTCTTTTAATTAGGTCTATTTTTTCTTTTGCTTTGTCTGAGATCAGGATTGCTACCCCGGGTTTTTTTTATTTCAGCTAAAGCATAATAGATTCAGCTCCAGTTCCTTACCTTTACTTTGTGTAAGTCTTTCTGTTTCAAGTCTGTTTCTTGTAAACACATATTGTAGGATTCTGGTTTTTGATCCACTCTGCTATCCACTTCATTTTGTGGGAGAGTTCATCACATTCACATTTACAGTTATGATTACTAACTGTGTATTTCTTTTCATCCTATTTTTCCTCCTGTTTGTCCTCTCTCTTTTCACCCTTTCCCTCCTTGACAGTGTTTTGCTTCTGTCTGCTGCCTCCTCAGGTCTGCCCTCTCTTCTGTCATTCCCCTCCCCTCTCTCTCTCCTTTTATTTAATATCCTCCTCTGCTACTTTCCTGTTGAAGAAGATAGATTTCTTCATTCAGCTGATTGTGTATATTATTCTCTCTTTGAGCCAATACGGATGAGAGTTAAACAATACCCAGCACCCACCCTTCCATCTTTCCCTCCACTGTAACAGGTTCTTTGCACCTCTTCATGTGAAATAATTTACCCCATTCTACCTCTCCCTTCCTTTTGTATCCCTTGTACTCCTTTTTTCCCTCATCCTTTAATTATTTTATGTCATTTCCTCAAATTCACCTTATACCCATAAGTGGTATAATTTTTAAGAATTACAAGTATCTTCTTCACATATAGGGATGTAAACAGTTCAGTTCCATTTAATCCCTTACGTTTTCTTTTCCCTTTTTAGGCTTCTCTTGGGTCTTGATTTTGGAGATCAAATTTTTTGTTCAGTTCTGATCCTCTTCTTATGAAAGCTTGAAATCCTTCTGTTTCATTGAGTGACCATTTTTTTCTCTTGAAGTATTTTCCTTAATTTTTCTGGGTAGGTGATTGTTCTTTGTAGTTGTAGCTCCTTTGTCTTCCAGAATATTATGTGTCATGACCTCTGATCCTGTAATGTTGCAGCTGCTAAGTCCTATGTAATCCTGATTGTGTCTCCCTGATATTTTAATTGTTTCTTTCTGTCCACTTGCGGTATTTTTTTGCTTCACCTGATAGTTCTGAAATTTGGCTATATGTTCCTTGGAGTTTTTATTTTGAGTTCTCTTTCCTGAGGTGATTGGTGGATTCTTTTAATGCTTATTTTGCCTTCTGGTTACAGGATATCAGGGCAGTTTCCTTGATAATTTCTTGAAAGATGCTGTCCAGGTCCTCCTTTTGATTATGGCTTTCAGGTAGTCCAGTGGTTTTGACATTGTCTTTCCTGTATCTCTTTTCCAGGTCAGTTTTTTTCCCCCCATGAAATATTTTACATTTTCTTCTATTTTTTTTTATTCTTTTGAATTTGTTTGATTCCTTATGACTCATAGAGTCATTAGCTTTCACTTGCCAAATTCTGCTTTTTAAGGAATTGTTTTCCTCATTTAGCTTTTGTATTTCCTTTTCCATTTGGCCAGTTGTACTTTTTAGGGAGTTGTTTTCTTCAGTGGATTTTTGTATCTCCTTTTCCTTTTGACCAGTTCTACTTTTTAAACAGTTGTTTCCTTTTTCCAAGCTGCTGACTCTTTTTTCACAATTCTTTTGCATCACTTTCATTTCTTTTCCCAATTTTTGTTCTACCTCTCTTTTTAAAAAAAAATTTTTTTAAGCTCTTCCATGAGTTCTTTCTGGGCTTGAGACCACTTTATTTTTCTTTGGGGTTTTGCCCATAGGTGTTTAGACATTTTGTCTTCTTCTGAGTTTGTGTCTTGATCTTTCCTGTCACTGTAATAGCTTTCTCTGGTCAGATTTCTTTTTTTGCTTTTTGTTTTTTTTTTTGTTTTGCTCATCTTTTTTGGCCTTTTTCCTTTCTTTTAAATTTGTGCTCTGCTTCCTGGGTGGACGGGGCCCTGTCTTGCACTTATTCTGCCAGGGGCTGTAGGCCGTGGCTGTTTACCTGGTGCTGCACTGATGTTGCCCTGGGGCCTACAGGGGACCCTCAGTCTAGTGCTAGTGGTGGCTGGCAGTGCTGGAGGCTGTAGGGATCTGGCAGCTTACCTGGTACTGAGCTGAGGTCGTAGTGGTGGTGCTTGGTGTGTGCTATGACCCTTAGGAAAGTATTTGTGTTTCCCCTGGGGCTACACTATTGGGGTCTGGCCCACTGGTGGCTGACTGTTTGCCTGGGGCTTCTCTGAACCACATGGTGGTTCTCAGAGCTAGAGTTTGCCCTTTCCTCTAGCTATGCTGAAGCATGTGGGGGATCCTGGTATTGAAGTTTGCCTACTCCACCACACTAGAGCCAGGATATCCCACTGATTTGCTGAAGTGGGGCTTGATGAAATGCTTCCTGTCTTGGACTGCACTGTCTTTTCCCCGAGTGAGACAGCCCTTTCTTGCCAATCTTCCATATTTCTTGGGTTAAAAAATTGTTTCACCCCATCTTTTTGCTGGTTCTGCTGTTCCAGGATTTGTTTTGGGACATTATTTTATGATTGTTTGGAGGTGAATATGGAAGATTTATAATGATTTACTTCTTACTTCTTCATCTTGGTTCCCATAAGAGGTCACATCTCTCCTTCATCTTAAAAGGAAAAAAACTCCTTCACTTATCTATTCACATGTGCTAGCTAGTTCTCATCCCTTTTGTGGCTAAACTTCTTGGAAAGATTGTTCACAGTTGAGTAAGGGAAAAGGCTTTCAATCTCGTCATTCAGTTGAAATTGATCTTTTCTAAGGTACTGATGATTTTAATTGCCTTTTCAAATCATTCCTCATCTCTCTTGACCTCTTTAACATTTGACCATATTAAATCTCCTTCTAGATACAGTCTCATTTCTAAGTTTTGTTAGACTGCTTTCTCTTTGACCTTCTCCTACCTATCTGCTCCTTCTCAACTGTCTTTCCTATGTCTTCTAGATTGTCTTTCACTTACATATATTTGCATTCCCTATCTGTTCTCTCTTTTGTCCCTTTGAGACTTTCCATCACAGATAATAATTTTTTCTGTTCTGCCCATTATTTTTGCTTTGTGGCCCATAAATTCTTCTTTCTTCATTCTTATTTCTTTTTTGAACCACTCAGGAAAGTGTTCTCTTCCTTCCACTGGGTCCTCTGTCTCATCAAGTGGCAGATCATATTCCTCTATTTTGCAGTATTTATTCATAGGTACTAGAACTAGAGGCCATATTTTCTTCTATTGTTAATATTTTTCCTGTTGATTTATCTGCCTGTGTTCAAGGTCTTTGAGGTTTCTTCTTTCTGAACTCTTTTTTAGTTTCAGTCCGCCCCTCCCAACCCCACCCCTGATTTTTCACTGGTGTTGATTTCCTTTGGGGCTGAATCTCAACACATCTCAGCCTGTCCCCAGGCTGGACAATTTACAGTTCACCAGCCCAGTTCTCTACCTGGAATGACTTTTTGTTGTTCAGTCATTTCAGTTGTGTCTGACTCTTCATGAGCCCTTTTGGATTTTCTTGGTAAAGATACTGGAGTGGTTTGCTAATTCCTTTTTCAGTTCATTTTACAGATGAGGAAGCTGAGGCAAACAGGGTTAAGTGATGTGAAAACTAAACATTGATCCTGTATTTTGTATTCTGTGATTGATTCTTTTCTATTACTTTATTTTGCATTGTATATAATAACCTATAAGCCTTTTTTTGTCTCTGAATGAAGAAGCTCATGAGTTCAGAAGTTCAGTCTTCCTCTCTCATAGAAAGATGCTGAAGTGTATTCATCCGCTCAATCACTTTTTTTTTTTTGCTTTTTGGTGAGGCAGTTGGGGTTAAATGACTTGCCCAGGGTCACACAGCTAGTAAGTGTCAAGTGTTTGGTCTGAGGCCGGATTTGAACTCAGATCCTCCTGACTTCAGGGCCGGTGCTCTATCCACTGTGCCACCTAGCTGCCCCCTCTCAATCACTTTTAAAAATAATAATAATTAAAAAACTGGGAGCTAGTGTAAGAGGTTCAGTACTCTCATAAAACACCTTAACTCTGAGGGAATTGTTATTTCAGCAATACCTACAAATCACTTTATGCCAAGGAAACTTGTTATCCTTTATAATTTCATCTCCTGAGAAATTCCATGACATTTGTATATTATTCTTGAGAGCTGATCTGGTCCCATATTTGCTTATCTTTGCCCATTTAGTAGTCGTCATATCTCATTCCCAAGCACCAGTGAGTCTACTGTCCTTGTTCCAGTGTCAGTGACCTCAAGATGCAACTGGCTCCCATAAATTTGTAAAGCATTTATCTGAGACATAGAGGGGTGTTCTTGGTCCATGAGTGTGCAGACCCACTTTTCTTGGTGTAACCAAACATAAGTTCTCATCCACATGATGTTGCCAACCTTCTGACCAACTGTATTATTTCCTTATCTTCCTATTCTATTTTTTTTTTTTTTTTTGGTGAGGCAGTTGAGGTTAAGTGATTTGCCCAGAGTCACGCAGCTAGTGAATGTTTTGTGTCTGAGGCCGGATTTGAACTCAGGTCCTCTTGACTTCAGGGCTGGTGCTCTCCCACTGCACCACCTAGCTGCCCCACCGATTCTAATCTTTATTCTGTGTTTATAAAAAGAAGTTGCATCTTCACTTCAGGCTCTTTGGCTTACTGAGGCAGTCATTAGACCCATTTTGCCTGCTAATAAACTGTTATCATGCTTGGAGAAAATATGCCTCAATCTACCTTTGTTATATTTTACTCATGACATTGCCTTGTCCAGGGTCACACAGGTAATAAGTGTCTGAGGCTAGATTTGAACTCAGGTCTTCCTGACTCCAAACCCGGCACTCTATCCACTGTACCACTTAGTTGCTCCTGGAATGACCTTTAAGTGGTTAGAACTGGCTCCATCTGGATGCTGTGCTCTTTTTCTCAGGCTTTGTAAAGTGCTTACTAACACACTCCTGCCCCCATGTACTATGTCTTCTCTTGCTCCCTCTAGGCATTTTAGAGAGATGCCAAACTAGTGCTATGTGGTTGTCCATACTGCCTGTGAGAGAACTGCAGTGCTAGTGCTATGGAGGCAATTCTAAGCTTTACCATGCTGGTGCTATAGTGTTGTCCCTCCAGCGTTGGCAGTTCAGAGCTTTGTAGTGTTGATGCTATTGGATTGTGGCATTCAATCTTTATTCAGTTTTAAGCTTGAATAGTTTAAAAGAGCCTATATGTCATTTATACTACTATGTATTTATGCCACTATGACATGTGGTAGTGCTCCTATTTCATTGCTTGTCTCTTTAAAAAATTGGGAAAATAATTTTGCCCTGTGTTTCATATATTACACTCTAAGATTAATGATGAATTAGGGGACAGAACTTGGATTTAAATCCCAAATTTGTCACTTATGAACTGTATGACCTTGGGCCATTCACTTCCCCTTTCAGTTTCCTTAACTGTCATATGAAGGGAGTAGATTAGATAACCTTACCTTCTCTTCCAGCTCTAAATCTATGAGCCCGTGATCCTAAAAAGGGGGAAAACACAGGACTAGTAAAAAAAAAAACTATAGTTTGTTTAATATTCACACTCCCTCTCTTTTTTCTTTGTGTAGGTTTGTGAAAAGGAAAGCAGTCCCAAATTAGTGGAACTCTTGTTAAATAATGGATCGAGGGAACAGGAGATTCGTAAGGCATTGATGATCAGCATAAAGAAAAATAACAGTGAAATCATCAGTTTACTATTAAGGAAGCTTGGTTTGGATCTTGCCAATAACAGCATTTGTCTTGGAGGGTTTTGTATTGGAAAAATTGAACCTTCATGGCTTAGTCCTTTATTTCCAGATAAAATATCTAATTTAAGAAAACAAACAAGTAAGTTTCCGTAGGAACCCTTTAATTTGTTGAAGATGAGAGTGTTAATGATTTTTTAAAAGTCTTAATATTTTTATCTATATTTATATAAAGTAGGTTAGACTATTAATTTATGCATAAAATCTTATGAAGAAGGATGATGGGCAGTTTCAGTAGCATTATCTCATAAAGCAAAAGCAGTGGAGGTTTAAAGAAAGGTTGTTAAGATAGCCAATTAGCAAAGTCATTCAAAGGATGCTTAAAAGTAAAAATGGAAGGAAGACAACAACAGAAAGTAAGAGGAAAAAATTATAACTTTTATAAGAAAAAAAATTATTACTTTTTTTGCCATCAAGAACAGAGGAACCACTCTTAGACCCTCATATCATAGTCATGGATTCATTTTTTGTTCTTTTCATTGTGTATCCTTCATTCTTGAATAAGACCAGGAAAGTGATGTCATGACTTGCAAACGAGTAGGATTTAAGCGAGGGAGGGCTATACAGTCACTAGCCTCACTCTGTCCTGCAGAGCCATCTGAGTCCAAGGACAAGATATAGATCAGGAGCACTGGAGATGGCCTGGATGCAGTGGGAGACCTTGACTTTTTTAGGCTAAGGTCTTTCCTAGGTCTCAGTTTGACTGAAGCAGTGCCCATTGAGTGATTAAGACTAGGAAAGAAATGAGAGAAAGAATGGCCTCTTTTACCTAGTGAAAAAAAAAAACCAAAAACGAAACAAAATCAATCTGAGACGGGAAGAGCTTCGGGGTTAATGGCCAAAAAAAAACCAATTGCTATTTACACTCATTCTGAGCCATCAGAGCCCAAATAGTAACCATGTGAGGCTTGGACTGGAACATATTGTTGGCCAGTCAGTGAGAGCCAGAGTGATTTGGGTTTAAGTCCCTGGTCCTTAAAAAATAAATCTAGCCCATAAACCCCAAGGTATCTTGCTGAAGTTTCAGTAACCCAAATTTATATTCCTTTGAGCAGAGCCCAAAGGGTATGGGTATGCTTATAGGGAAAGTGAAAGTAACACTAAAAGGAGTGAACTGGAAAAGCAGCCAGGTTAGACCATATAAAGGAGAGGTCTATGCTAGAGGCTACATGCTGATGATGGAGTTAAGGGATCAATATACAAAGAAGTGTTACGTATCACATTCAAGAGACATAGTTTCTGGGTAATTAACAATTATTTTATTAATTATGGCTAGCAAATAATAAAAGGATCATTTGTCTGTCTCTCCTAAACCAAAGACCCCTCATGGAACCCATTCAGTGCTGATATGCCCTTGGAAAAGTGGGTGTTCCTGAGGGTGGAAATCAGCTCTGATTGGTTAACTAGTAGAGAATGAATATAATGAGGGGTGGGTTTATTCTAGTGAGGGTCTGGGTGTAACATTGATCACTGAGCCTTGGTCAAAGACCCCATCTAGGGTAATCTAGACAAAAGGGAGAATCTACTTCTACTCAGACTTCTCTGACTAAAACACAATGGACTAAAATTCATCCATTCACCTAAGCCAGAATTTCTTTACCTTTTGATCAGATCTGAGTTTTCCTGCTTAAGTAATTTTCTCACAAGATTTTATCTCATTATCAGCTCTGACCTTCAAAGGCTGCCTGGATAACCTACAGGGGCGGATTTCTGATTTCTGAATGAAGAAATCGGAAGGGGAAAACCCTCAGTCCTAATTAAATAATTGATTATTAATATGAGTGAAATAATCATTTTCCTCAGAAGGAAATATATATATGTGTCTGTGTGTGTATAAAACAAGTAAAGATACAAAAAAATTAAATCTTAGATCTTACTAATACTGCCCCTCATAAGAGATGACCAAGAGAATATGAATAGTTACTGCCATCTATGTCTGTGCTCCCTTCTAGACAGATTCTATATGACAGGGTTATCTATACATGAATTAGGGCATCCTTGATAAAGATTTTAATAGGGAATAAGCAGGATTTCACAAGGAATATTTAACAATAGATCACATCTTTATCATATCACAATTAATTGAAAGGTATAGAGAATGTACAATCCTACTATTCTTAAGGTCATTGCTTATGAAAATGTGACATTCAGTATAACAAGATACCACCCTAAAGGCTTTTCTACTGCAAGAGATTGCCCGTCCACATCAGAATACTTCAAGATTTCATAAAAGTTATAACAAAAGAAATAACTTTATTGTATGTATGTATGTGGTCATACATCCATCAGCTGAGGCATAAAACTGATATATCTGTGCTCATCAGGGTGGTTGACCCTTGATAGAGGAGGTCCAACACAGAATTTAAGTTGAGAGATTTTCTGTAGATGGTGAAGTCCATCATATGTTCCTTTTTGTGGATATAATGCAAGTTATATCAAGCCCCAGAATATTGCATAGCCTCCTAGAAAACAGTTGTCATCATTCAAATGAATTTGATTTGACCATCCATACAGGAGTTTGTTGACTTTGAAGGATGTTTATTGATTAGCTTGAAGTTTGCATTTGGATTGACAACCTATAGAGTTTGTCTTATCCATCAGTGTGTGTGTGTGTGTGTACACATATATACACATATATAATATATACACATATAACATATATACACACATACATATACACATATATACATACAAATGTGTGTGTATATATTATATATATGTATATATGAAGGGAAGGTAACTAGAAGGAAATAAACATCTATTAAATGTCTGCTATGTGCAGATACTATACTGAACACTTTACAAATATCTCATTGGCTAAGCAGAATGAAGTTGCTCCTGATACTAAGTTTCATCACATACACTGCATTGTACAGCAGGTTGTGTTGCACTGAAATGTAGTGAAAATGGAACATATGCTGAAGTTCGTTAAGAAAACAGTGACTTTTATATGTTTTCAAGGATTGAAACAATGATAATTTTCCTCATTACTCTTGGAAATTAAAAGTGAGCAGGAAGAGGAGATTTTACTATTTTCAAAAGTTTGGATTTCCTGTTGTAAGGTTTTGAAGTATGTTTGGCAATTTTGCCATCAAATCAAAATATTTATAGAAATGGAAGAAGAGTCACCAGAATAGCTTAATAAAAAGAACTGGTTTCAGGATTTGGCTTTCATTGTTTCATTGTTATTGAGAAACATTTAAATGAGTTGAATTTAAAACTTTTGGGTCAAAATCAGGTTATAACATTTATGTATGATTGTATTAAAGAATTTAAGATAAAACTTGGTCTTAGGAAAAGACAACTAAGATTGTAATTTGACTCATTTTCCTACATGTAAAAATTATCAAGAATCATTTAGTTCTTTTAATTTCAGCAAGTATGCCTCAAGTATTCAGAATTACTATTTGAATTTGAAAAGTGATTTGAAGGATTAAGAATGTGTGAAAACAATTTCCTTTTGATGTTGAGAGAGCAAAAAATAACATTCAAAATGGAACTTGTTGAAATTCAGTGCAGTACAGTGCTAAAAGTATAATGAAGTTAATGTTTCAGATTTTTATTCTTACTTGCCAAGATATTTTGTTGAAATGTGCATTTTTGCTTCAAGAATCTTAGCAATGTTTGGCAGATATATGGCAGTTATTTTCACTCCTAAAGACTATTAAAACTTCACATAGGGCAAAATGAGCAAATGAGCATTTATCATTGATGCTATTGATAGCAATATCATTGATATTGCTAAAATAGTTTCTGGCAGAAGATGCCAAGTTTCTATCAAACCACATTAAGTTATAGTAAATTTTGACTTTTCTTTTAGTGATATGTTTTGTAATCGTTTTGAATCACTTTAATATTAAAACATAAACTTGCATTCTTTTTCTTTGTAATTAGTTCCCACTTAATTTGTATACATGTATATAATATATAAATGCATGTTAATATTGAAAACATTATCAAATTCATAATAATGTTTCTTTTAAAAAATTTTTAGTCCTGTCCAGTTTTAATGTGTTGATGGATTAATGAAAAAGTAAATATATAAACCCATGTGCTTTTTGTAAGTTAATATGTAGCTCAAATGGATTCTTTTGTGTGGCTTAGTGGCCCCCATTTCTTTTTTAGTTTTATGCCGCTGATCTAGACAATAATATAGGTAAGTAGATTTGATAATGGTAAAATGACCACATCAAAAGAATATTTAGGAATAGTTTGATTACAGCTTGGCAGGACACCTCTAGTAATGAGTCCCTGTGACCTGTGTTGTTAAACTCTTTTATTGATAAAAGCATATATGGCATCCTTTTTAAATTTTTGCATGACACAAACCTGGAAGAATTGGTAATGTGTTAAATGGCAATCAGTATCCAAAAAGACCTCAGCCAATTAGAGTGTTGGATAGAAATTAAGAAAATGAAATAATGCAGATAAACATGAAGTCTTATACTTGAGTTAAAACAACTTCTCAAGGATAAGGTAGGAGAAGAATAGCTGTATCTACACTCAGATTAATGCCACCATTTTTTTTTTCTATCTTGAGTTTCAAGGTGCAACTTCCTATGGAAAATTTTGTGATTGGCTGGGAAACTAATGAGCTTTGATGTGACCTTTATTATTGTAGCCCTTCAGGCCAAAGCTTTATAATGATTGCTTCTTCTGTATTGTGACCTGATTTTTTTTTTACTTCAGCATTTTTAGACTATTTATCAAGTAATGTACTCTGATAAAGAACATGGATTCATTCAGGCACATAATTTCCTTTTGTGGCCTAAAGTCTAGGCCATGGCTAAATGTAATCATATTTTTAATGACATCTTTTAAATACATTATCTGTTTTCATCAAGAATGCTTTTAAGAGGCAAAACAGGGGCAGCTAGGTTGCGCAGTGGATAGAGCACTGAAGTCAGGAGGACCTGAGTTCAAATCTGGCCTCAGACCAAACACTTGACACTTGCTAGCTGTGTGACCCTGGGCAAGTCACTTAACACCAATTTCCTAAAACAAAAACAAACAAACAAAAAAGAGGCAAAACTAACTAATATAATTTTTCTTCAGAAAGTATAATTGTGAAGGAAATCTTGGCCTTATGTCTTTTATATTCTTGACTTTTTAAAATTGATATATTTTAGAAATATCAGTGTTTATGGCTTTTCACTGTTAGACACAGGATCTGCATTGGCAAGAATGGTATTAAGATATCAAATGAAAAGTTTATCAGAAGATGGACCAATATCAGACAGTGATGGAAGTTTTCCTGAAGATCATCTTGATGAAATTAGTGATTGGACTGTTATACCTGAGTCTTCCGTAAACTGTATATTTGGTCACAGTGATGATCTTGATAGTGAAGGTAAAGACTATGACACATTAACTCTTTCATGTTATGTCTCTAGATATGATTGTTAAAGCGGTTTGAAGAGCAACAAATTAAGAAGTTTGGTGAAAAAGTAATTTCATTTTGTAGATCTTTAAAGTAGAGAAAGCAAATTTTAGTCTGTCACCAAAGTTGTATGGTAGTTTGTTTTTCTTTCTTTAGGTATTAAGGTAGTTACTGGACCCGTGGTTTCACTGATATAGAGAAATATTAGATGAGAAAATGTCCTCTGCCAAAGCAAGTTAACACCTTCTCTGCAATCTGTAGGCTTAGGGAATTACCTGGAGCTCTGATAGATTAAATCACTTACCAAGGGTAGTAAGTATGTGTCTTGAGAATATTAACTCCTTGTGAATAGGGTAGTTTCATCCTTATTATTTCTAGAACCTAGCACAGTGCCTGGCATGTACTTAGTGTCAAATAAATACTTATTTATTGATTCCTTTTTTAGCAATGTCTTTTCTCAGTCTTCTAGATAAAGAATTTAAGCTGGAAAAGCTTTCTGAAAAAAAAATACAATCATTCTTATGAATTAATTTATTTTTAAATCTCTGTACTTTAAAATACAACATTTATAGGTATAAGATAACTTTTTAGAGTGCCATAGTAGATAAAGAGCTGTCCTTGAATTATCCTGGGTTCAGTCCTACACTTGTCACATACTGGCTGTGTGTCCCTAGGCCAGTCACTGAGAGAGTTATGGAGAAGGTGTTAATCTTCATTGGTAGAGGAAGTTTCTCATAGAGAGAGGTGAAATCAGATCTAGTACAAAAATTGATGGCATTTATTATGAAGCTATCTATGATAGTGTAATATGTAGTGGTAGGCAAAGGACCAGGAAATGAATCCTACCTCTACTACATAAGACCTACCTAGGTGAATAAATCACTTCTAACTTTTTGGCCACCAGTTTCCTCATCTGTAATGTGAGAGTTTTAGACTACGTATCCTTTCCTTGAAAGCTGAAAATCCATGATTCCATTGGTTCTTTTTCTTCTAACTATTTCATTTATATTTAACAAGTATTTTTGGAAATACAAATTCTTTGAAGACAGATTTGAATATTAATCTCTAGGTGGAAAAAGTCAATTTTGTAAGTTGATTTTTAACTGTTACAGATCTATTACCCCCAATGTAAATGATTTTAGTATGTTTCTGTTATTAACAAACTGTTACTTCCACAGTATTCTTTTCCAGAATTGCAGTTTTTTTAAAATTTTTATTTAAAAAAATGAATCCATAAACAAAAAATGGGTAGTTTAATTGAATAAATATGACTTTCCAAAATGGTAGAATAAGAAGAACCATTAAATGTTGAATAAATAAAGGATTAAATAGAATCTGAAGGAAGTTTAAGAAATAATTCTTTGAAACTGATAAACATATCAGTAGTTGATATGTGAAAAGTGAAACCAGAATTATTTTACTATTAATATACTGAAGATAAGAGTTTGTCTACTTAACATGTGAAAGATTCTAAAAGGGAATTGATAAAACTATTCTCCGTAATTCGAAAATGTTTAAATCCTATGTTTGTGATTTCTATTCCAATCTTTCTGATTCTTCATGTCATCTTTAATATCTTTATTTTATATTTTATTATTAAAATAGGAAGTGAAAGTTCATTTCTTATGAAAAAGAAATCAAGTTCATTTAATGTGGGAGATCTTTGTAGAGATCCTGCGTTCCAGCGTGGCTCACCAACTTTGGAAAGGCATTCCAATTCAATGGTAAGACAAATCATGAGTCTCATATATCCTGTTGGTAGTTAAAAACATAGGACAAAGTTGGTTGCCATTAACTTCATGACTATGGGCAAAATGATGGGTTAGATGTTTAATAATTTTAACACAGATTGTAAGAACCACTTGGATTATCCAGGGAGAGCCTAACATGGAGAGTAAGAATAATGCTGGGAAGGTTGGAGTACTTAGGAGAGTATGATAGCAAATAAAAAGCAAGTAGGTAGGAAGCTTCAGAGAGACTTGTTTGTAGGTAGATGTTTTGCTAGAATGGTAGTACAAGGAAATATTAATTACAATGAAAATTAAGTATTCCCATTTTGTACTTGAATAACTATACAGAACTTTCTTTTTTTTAAATTTTTTTTGTTTTCAACATTTACTTCCACAAGATTTTGAGTTCCAAATTTTCACCCCATCTTGCTCCTCCCCCCACCCCAAGATGGCATGCATTCTAAATACCCCTTCCCCTAGTCTGCCTTCCCTTCTGTCTCTCCGCCCCCCTTCTCTTATCCCCTTCCCCTTCAATTTTTCTGTAGGGCAGGATGGATTTCTGTATTCCATTTCCTGTATTTTTTATTTCCCAGTTGCATGTGAAAACATTTTTTTTAAACGTGTTTTTAAAACTTTTGGGTTCCAAATTTTCTCCCTTCCTGCCTCCCCACCCACCCTCATTGATAAGGCAAGCAACTAAATATAGGTTATATATGTGCAGTTATGCAAAACACTTCCATAGTAGACATGCTGTGAAAAACTATCTCTATTTCCCTTAATCCTATCCCGCCCCTCCATTTATTCTATTCTTTCTTTTGACCCTGACCCTCCTCAGAAGTATTTGCTTCTGATTACTCCCTTTCCCAATCTGCCCTCCTCTTTATCATTCCCCTACTCTCTTGTCCCCTTCCCCCCCTATTTTCCTGTAGGATAAGACAGATTTCCACACCCAATTGAGTGTGTATGTTATTCCCTCCTTAAGTCAAATCCTATGAGAGTAAGATTCACTCATTCCCTCTCACATTCCCCCATTTCTCCTCCGCTATAAGAGCGTTTTCTCTTCTGGTTTTTTTTTTTTTTTTTGTGAGATAATTTACCCTGTTCTACCTCTCCCTTTCTTCTTCTCCTGGTGTATTCCTCTCTCATCCCTTAATTTTATTCTCCAGATATGACCCCTTCATTTTCAACTCACCCTGTGCCCTCTATCTATCTATCTATCTATCTATATCTACATATACGTACATATAATTTTTTCCCCTCCAACTACCCTAATACTGACAAAGGTCTCATGAGTTACAAATATCATCTTTCCATGAAGGAATGTAAACAGTTCAACTACTTAATAAGTCTCTTATGACTTTCTGTTTCCTGTTTACCTCTTCATGTTCCACTTAAGTCTTGTATTTGAAAATCAAATCTTCTATTGAACTCTGGTCCTTTCATCAAGAATGCTTGAAAGTCGTTCTATTTCACTGAATGACTGTTTTTTCCCCTGCAGGATTATACTCAGTTTTGCTGGGTAGGTGATTCTTGGTTGTAATCCTATCTCCTTTGCTCTCCGGAATATTATATTCCATGCCCTGTGGTCCCTTAATGTAGAAGCAGCTAAATCTTGTGTTATCCTGATTGTGTTTCCACAATACTTGAATTGTTTCTTTCTGGCTGCTTGTAATATTTTCCCTTTGACCTGGGAATTCTGGAATTTGGCCACAGTATTCCTAGTAGTTTTCCTTTGGGGCTCTCTTTCAGGAGGAGATTGGTGGATTCTTTCAATTTCTATTTTGCCCTCTGGTTCTAAAATATCAGGACAGTTTTCCTTGATAATTTCTTGAAAGATGATGTCCAGGCTCTTTTTTTGATCATGGCTTTCAGATAGTCCAATAATTTTAAAATTCTGTCTCCTGGATCTATTTTCCAGGTCAGTTGTTTTTCCAGTGAGATATTTCACATTGTTTTCTAATTTTTCATTCTTTTGGATTTGTTTTACAGTGTCTTAATTTCTCATAAAGTCACTAGCTTCCAATTGCGCTATTCTAATTTTTAAGGAAGTATTTTCTTCAGTAATCTTTTGGACTTCCTTTTCCATTTGGCCAATTTTGCTTTTTGGGGCATTCTTCTCCTCATTGGCTTTTTGGACCTCTTTTGCCATTTGGGTTAGGCTATTTTTTAAGGTGTTATTTTCTTAAGTATTTTTTTAGGTCTCCTTTAGCAAGCTGTTGACTTGTTTTTCATGATTTTCTTGTGAAACTCTCAGTTTTTCTTCTACTTCTCTTGCTTCTCAAAATCCCTTTTGAGCTCTTCCATGGCCTGGGACTGATTCATATTTTTCTTGGAGGCTTTGGATGTAGGAGCTTTGGCTTTGTTGTCTTCTTCTGGTTATGTGTTTTGATCTTCTTTGTCACCAAAGTAAGATAATATAGTCTGACTCTTTTTGCGCTACTTACTCATGATCCCAGCCAGTTACTTGAGTTTTAAACTCTTTGTTAAGGTAAGTCTGCTTCCAGTGTGAAGAGTGTACTGTCCCAAGCTTCAGGGGTTTGTACAGCTGTTTTCAGAGGTACTTCTAGGGACCTGTAAATTTTCAGTTCTTCCAAGGTGGTATGATAAGGGGCGAGGTGTTTTCTCTCCACCACCACAACAAGCTCCACCACACCAGCGTTCCTCTTTGCCCCAGGACCGCCTCTCAGAACTGCGACCCAGATCCAAGCACCAGTGAAGCAAGAGATTCCTGCCTCAGCACTGGCAAAGAGATCCCTGCAATCCCTCTCTGATCAGCCACTAGATTCCCCCTCAGTCTGTGGGCCAGAAGCTCAGTAAACAGCTGCGGCCCTAGGCCGTGCTTGAGACTTGCGGCTGAGACCTAGCTCCTCTCTCGCCACAGTCACAGACTTTTCCCACTGACCTTCTAAGTTGTCTTTGGCGTTGTGGGTTGAGAAGTCTGGAAACTGCCACAGCAGCCCACGATTCAGTCTTCTGAGGCCTGCTCCAGGGTCACTGCGGCCTGTGTGCCCACGCCGAACTGCGCTCCTCTCCCAGCCCGGCACGATATACCTTTCCAATCAACCATCCAGGCTGTCTTTGGCTGGAAGTTTGTTTCACTCTGTCTTTTTGTGGGTTCTGCTGCTTTAGAATTTGTTTAGAGCCATTTTTTATAGGTATTTGGAGGGCTTTGGGAGAGAGCTCAAGACAGTCACTGCTTTCCCTCCGCCCTATACAGAACTTTCTAGCAATCACTTATAATTTAGCCATCAAACCTATAGTTTAGGATACATAGTGCCTAGCATTTAGTAGACAATAAATGTATGTTAATTGATTAACTTGCCCTTTGGAAGTAGTCTACAAATATACTGGCTGGCTTCTCTATGGAATAGTATTTTGTTTTTTTTTTCCCCTTGTTTTGTTTTGTTTTGTTTTTTCTCATTGGAGAACCTAAACCAGACTTGTGCCAGAAAGGTACTGAGTCAGAAAATATCTACTTTTGGTTCATTTTTCTTTATTCTTTTTTATGATAATATTTAATCTTATTTTTCACCAATTATTTTTCTTTATTTTAACAGTTTTAGAGGCAGAGAGATGGTGCAGTAGGTTAATCTCTGGACCTTGAGTTAGGAAGACTTGAGTTTAAATCCAACCTCAGACACTTACTTACTAGCTGTGTGTCCCTGGGCAAGTCATTTAACTTATTTACCTCAGTTACCTCAACTCTAAAGTTGGTGATATCTAAATGATATCACCTACCTCCAAAGGATTTTGTGAGCATCAAATGAGATAATATTTGTAAAATTATTAGCATAGTGCCTGGTAGATAATAGGCTTGTTTCCTTTCCTCCTCCTTCTAAAAGATTCCTACCTTGCATACAGCAAGCTGCCTTTCAACAAATTGACTTTTTTTTTTTTGGTAAGAACACAGCTCTAGGACTCTTGTAGAATTCATTGCGAAAGCAAGGGGTCTGCTTTCTGACCAATTTTTCAGTAATGTACCTGTACCATATCTCAAGGGATTCCTTACTTTGTTTCACTGATGACTTAAACTCTTCTTATATTTGGTGACTCTGGAGTTACTTGAAATCTTTCAAAATAAGTCCTAATTACCACATTTTAGAGCTTTGACTGTACAGTATTATTTACAAGGCAGATGATTAAAGCTTTAATTGTAGTTTGTGGTGAAGAATAATCATTGTTGCTTTGGGAGCAAAAATAGGTACATTACCTCCAAGTTAGTTTTGAAATACCAATAGTATAATTAAACTTTTATATATATATATATATATATATATATATATATATCTTTTGTTAATCATAGTTAAACATTACAAAAATTGAATTAATGTAGGTTTTTAGTAGCCTTAAAAATAGATAGTTGTTGTTCAGTCACGTCTGACTCTCTGTGATTCTGTGAATCATAGCTCACCAATTCTGTACATGGGTTGTTTTCGGCAAGGATACCAGAGTGGTTTGCCGTTTCCTTCTTCAGTGGATAAAGGCAAACACAGGTTAAGTGACTTGCCCAGAGTATTATTTGAGCTCAGGTCTTCCTCGGTCCAGGGCCAGCTCTCTATGGACTGAGCCATCTAGTTGCCTCCAAAAAAAGCAAAACAAAACGAAACAAAAAACAAACAGACAGACAATAAAATCTAGTTAAAGATCAGTAGGAAATTGTATACCATTGGTTTATTTAGTTTGCAAATATAGAAAACAACCTGATAAATGAGAACCATTCTACCCCAAGGTAGCTATGTAATCTCAAGTTCCTTCCAGTTTCAAAATCTATGAGAGTTAATAATTGTGTAACTTTAGGATTAGGTGCTCCATTTTTCTTTGCTTAATTTTACTGTATATAATGTGTTATTTTTTTTTCTTTAAAGACAGTAGAAGTTGCTCCTGTGTAGATAGATATTTTTGCTTTTAAAAAATGACACACTATTTTTACAACTTGATTAATGTGGAAATATGTTTTTGCAAGATTGCACATGTATAACTTATATCCAATTGCTTACTGTCTCAGAGAGGGAGAGGTGAAGGAAGGAGGGAGAAAAAATGGAAATCAAAATTTAAAAAAAAAGAATGTTAAAAATTATCTGCATATTTAATTGAGGAAAAAATAAAATATTATGAAAAAAAGAGAAAATGATGCAAACTTTCTCATGGATGCCTTTATTTTCTAAAAGGAGGCCAGTTCTGATTGTGAAGAATTGTTGAAGCGAACAAGAGACTTATTTTCTTCAGATGATTCTGTCCGTGAGTATTTATACTAACCATAAACAGTGAGACATTTATGGCATGATCAAGTAATTTATCAAATCCACATCTGGTGTTCAAAATCATTAAAATTATATAACCGGAATCTTGAGATTTTGTTTGTTTAAAAATCCCATGTGTAGTAGAAGTATAAAGTACACTTCTGGATGAAAACCTGCTTGCTTTTTCTGAGTAAAACAGTGTTGAATTTTCAGAAATTCATTCTTACTTTGTTTTTTGCAAGTTTTAGATGAAATGTGTTTTCTTTTTTGGTTATATGTTATGTTTTGCAGAAGGATCTTCAAAATTCCAGTCCCATTTGAGACAATCAGACAGCATTTTTCCTCTAACTTCAGAAAGAGAATATATAAAGTCATTAGACCTTTCAGCAAATGAACTAGAGGAGATTGATGGTATAAGCAAGAAATGCTGTTTAAGTGATCACTTAACACGTCTTGAGAAACTGGAGCTTCACCAGAATGCACTTACAAGAGTTCCACAACAACTCTGTGAAGTAATTTAATATTTTTTTTAAAGGAAATGTATATTTGCATAATTTTTTCATCAATTTAAAAATTTTATGGTTGTCTTGAAAGAGAATTTTTTTTATGATTGTATACTTGATACTCTAAATCTTCCACTTTGCTTGAACTGTTACTTGCCAGTGTGTGATTTTTTATAAAAATGTGTGTGATTTATTTTTTTTTAAAGTGAGAAAGGGGGAAGGGCATTGCAGGTATAGAGAATAATGGGAACAAAGACCAGAGTGAGGAAATAATATTGAATAGGCCAGATAGCCATATAATTTAACTGAAGCATTGAATATGTGGAGAGGAATAACTTGAGATTAAGCTACTGAGAATGAAAGATTATGCCAGATAGTCAGGAGTTTGGGAAGAGAGGATTTGAATGCCAGGACAAAGAATTTAACTTAACTTAGTGGGCCATTGAACTTTTAACTAGGGAGCCATTGAACATTATTGAGAAGTGTGACATGAACAGATTTGTGTGTGTGTGTGTGTGTGTACAAATGCATGTGTGTGTGCACACACACACAAACACAATTATTCTGGATTCACCAAGACTTGATGTAAGAGGTCACTGAGATGGAAGCATCAAAGGTAACCATATTCATTCACTCAGTCAGTCTGTAAGCATTTATTAAGCATTTACTGTATGCCAAATTCACAGTGTGGAAATTGCAGTGAATTGTGATGCCAGTGACTGAAGGAGTCAGAAGGAAGAAGTTTAGGGAAAGACAGTAAGCTTGGCTTGGGACATGTTGAATTTGAAGTGCCTGTTGGAAATTCAATTAGAGGTGTTGTTTTATGAGCAACTGGTCTAGATCTTAGAATAGAGGTTCTAGGTGATGCCTAGAGTTATAACTTTGGAATTCAATTGCATAGAGATGGTAATTAAAGTTTAGAAGGAAATCAGATTGCCAAGGACAAACATATATAGAAATGAGAGATAATAAGAACAGACTCCTTGAGGACAACCCATATTAAGGAATGAGAAAGTCTGAGGAGCCAGAATAAGTCTGATTAGAGAGATTGGAAGAGAATTAGAAAAGTATGATGTTGATATTAAAAAAAAATAGAAAATATTTTAATTTACATTATATGTATTTGTGTATGTGGCTTATCTTTTCCTTCTAGGTTATAAACTTCTTGAGGACAAGAATTTTGTATTTCCCCAGAGTCTATCATAGTATATTGTACTTAGTGGGCATCTTAAACATGTTTGCTGAGTATAGAGTATACTTTGTATTCTAATTACCTTTATTTTTCTTCTGTAATCTATTCTACTTTAGCTGAAATTCTAAGCTTTTAATTGGATTTTCAATTAGATTTTCTTGGTCACATCATTTAATAACATTAAAATATTTTCTTTCCAGACTTTAAAATGTTTGACATATTTGGACTTACACAGTAACAAAATCACTTCAATTCCTGCCTATTTGTTGAAAATGAATTGCATTGCAAATCTTGATATCTCCCGTAATAATATTGGACCTTCTGTAATTTTGGATCCACATATCAAATGTCCAACCTTGAAGCAGCTCAATCTCTCATACAATCAATTATCCTCTGTCCCTGAATTTCTTGCAGATGTCATAGAAAATCTAGAACAACTCCTTCTGGAAGGGTAAGAATGGTGCAGATTTTTAGTGTGTAAATTAAGGTGGGATTATCATCAGCTGGAAAGACCTTGGAAGTTATGTAGTACAACCTCATCATTTCATTTTATTGATAAGACAGTTGAGACTCAGCTTAAATGACTTACCCAGTGTCTTTATAGCTAGCAATTAACAGAACCAGAAGCTAAACACATCTCTGACTTTATAGTCCTATATTTCTCTCATGAAATCAAATAGATTACTGTATGAGACTATCCCATTATTCTCTTATGAAATCAATTAAATGTCTTGTTTTTATTACTTTGTCAGAAAGAATTGATATATTAGAAAAATCAGCATTGCCTAGGTAGGAAATCTATTCATAATTATTTAGTATTATAGTTTATTCTAGTACTATAGTTCATCATTGTAGTTTACTCCAGTACATCCAAATACTTAGATTGAGAGTTGGAAGAAACCTTTTAGATCTTCCATCCAGACTTCATTTTACAGATGAGGAAGCTGAGACCTGTAGAGGTTGTAATTTTTCAAAGATGACTCAAGCAGTAAGCAAAGCTAGTATTCAGACACATGTCCTCCAATTCTAAGTCATTCGTTCTTTCCATTGCATGAGTTTTACAAAAGTAACTCTAATGTAAATGTAGCAGTCATTCATCTGTTACATATTTTATAATGTAATAAGTATATAATAAAAGTCAAATAAATTGACTTGAGAGATTTGAAGTTGAAACTATTCCTTGGAGCTAAGATTATTAGGGAAGACTTCATGGCAGCTAGGGGCTGGAGTCAGGAATACCAGAGTTAAAATCTGGCCTCAGATACCTATTAGCTATGTGATTGTAGACAAGTCACTTAACCTTTGTTTACCTCAATTTCCTCATGTGTAAAATGGGAATAATAATAGCACGTACCTTTGCAGGGTTGTTGTGAGGATCAAATTAATAATAAGTGTAAAGCAGTTAGCACATTGCCTAACACATATTAAATGTTACATAGTAAACTATATAAATGTTAGCTATTATTGTTATCATGTAAGATGTGATACCTGAAGGAAAATAATTTTAATATGCTGTCTTAAAAATAATTTTATTTTTAGTTGCTTTATAATGGTGCTCTGATTAAAGAAGTGGGCTAATTGTATAGACTGCCTTGATTTACATTGTCAAAAGTTTTTCTAGTAATTCAGTCTTTTACTGATATTTGTAAGGTGTACTTTTGCTCTTTTTGCTATTACTAAACTGATAATTGCGTTAAGTAGTTTTATATTTATTTTCCTCTTCTTGGATTAGAAACAAAATATCAGAAATATATTCACCTTTGTGCTTGAAGGAGTTGAAGATTTTAAATCTTAGTAAAAACCACATATTATCCATAACTGAAGATTTTCTTGAGGCATGTAGTAAACTGGAAGTTTTTAGTGCCAGAATGAATTTGCTTGGTAAGTATTTTTTGCTTGGTGGTTGTTTTTCTCTTCCTTCTAAGTTTTTTAGAGTGAGCATCCTATATATGGATATTTTAGATGTTGATGTTAAAAGTGTCAGTGTATTTCAAGCATTGGTTTTATTGTAAAGAGACTCTAATTCTTTATCATGGTATGGAAGTGATCTTGAGTTTTGGGACTCCATGGGCAGAATACATACTTGAGCAAGTCCTACCAAGCTGGAAAAAAGTTTTGGTAGCCTCAGTAAATGTGATGGCTTATCACCTGGAGATTGGCTATGAAGAGATACATTCTTTGGCTATGAATATATTAGAAACAGAAAACAAAAAATTTCAAAAATGGTCTTTAGTTTGGTGCAGCCTTCCCCTTTCTGCAAAGACAATGGCAGAGTGGGGGGGGGAAGGGACAAATAGTGATAAGAATCACAGTTTTTGACACTCTAGAAACATTCAGGTGATTATTAATACTTTATTGTGAGATCTTTGTAAAAATGTGTTGAGATACTCTAGAAGCAACTGAACCCACATTAGTATATTTTCATTTACAAGATACCATAGTAACAACTCATATTTCTATAAATAGGACTTTAAGATTTATAAAGTACTTTCCTCAGATCATTGTTTTAAGGTATGTCATATTAATATTATCCTTATTTTTCAGATAAGGAAATTATGTCCCAGAGAGGCCAAGTAGTTTATTCATGTCCATTAGCTAATAAGTGGGAAAACTCAAATTTAGCCTTGACTCTTCTAAATACACATCCAGGGGTCATTCCATGACAAAACATCACCTCTCACTAGAAAACCTAAAGGAGTTTCAGGCAAACAACAACACCAACAATATTAATAGCCAACATTTATATAATGCTTACTATGTGCCAGGCACAGTGCTAAGCAGTTTCCATGTATTACCTCATTTGATCCTTACAACAACTCTGGAGGGTAGGTGCTGTCTTTATCCCTACTTTAGAGTTGAGGAAGCTGAGACAGAGAAATTAAGTGACTTGCCCAGGGTTACACAGCTAGACAGCTTCTGAGGCCAGACTTGAACTCAGGGCCAGCCCTCTATCCATTGTGCCACCTCACTTTCCCCGAAAGTATAAATATACAAATGAAGTATAACTCAGAAGAATGGCAAAGACTGGAATGTGTGAAATGGTTTTTATCATGTTCCCAAAAGCAACAATAAATATTATTTCATTGTATTGTTTAGAGTAGTATGAGACATTAGAGGCTCTAGTCTAACCTTTTTATTTTATAGAGAGGGAAACTAAAGCTTAAGAAGATTAAGTAAATGTCTAAGACCATATAATTGTAAGTAAGCCAGGATTTGAATCCAGATTCTCTGTCTCCAAATACACTTGAGACACTTGATCATCTCAAATGGTGCTTCTCATGGTGAATGTAAGTGACTGCAGTGCAGATAATTATAACGTATGTTTCAACATCTACTGCACAAAATGAAGTAGAGAGATTCCTTGAAGAAGTTGACAAGATATTCAAAATCTGATTGAAAAATGCCATCATGCATTGTGAAAGTATATTTTGGGATAAAAAAGAGATTTGGAAGGCATTGGATACAGTGAACACTAAACAGTATGATAAAAAAATGAAATTATATATTAACAGAAAATAACTAGTTGTAAACTATGGGAAGAAGTGTGGAATGGTAAAAAGAACTGTGGCTCTGGGATCAGAGGATTTGTATCCTTCAAACACAAATAATTCTTCTGATGCTTGCTGCCTATCTGACCTGGGACAAGTTACTTAACTTTCCTGGGCTTCATTTTCCTCATCTTTTAAAGGAGGTTGTACTTGATGACCTCTTAAGGTAAGCTCTTTCTAGCTCTACAGTTACTATCTTGTGAATCTAAGATCTGAGAGTTATTTCAAAACCAGATGTCTCTGTGCAACCGGCTTATTGACTAATTAGAGAAAAGGCAGAAAGTAACGCCATATTAGAAGGGATAAAGATGAGAAAATACTGCTACAACTTGATCTATTTAAGGAAACTTTAATTCTAAAAAATAGGAAATAGATAAAAGATATTGACTTTGATTATCACCATTTCTGGTAGTAATTCAACCAATGTAAAACAGTTTCTACAAGAAGGCTAAAAGAACCCAGAAATCACCTTAATCAGCAAACAGTTGATCTTCTTGCCAAGTGGATTTGCCTACAACATGTTACATAGAAAGGATGATGCAAGATGGTAAACACAAATTTGGTAAAATCTCAGCTAAACCTGGGATTAAAAGTAGAACTAGGAGAATGTGAAGTTGCTACAAAGTGGAACAGATTTGTCAGTATTTATTTGGTAATATTTTCTCATTACTGATTTGGTACTACTATTCTATTTCTGACTTCTGTAAGACAAAGAGAAATAGGAAAAGAGAAGAGGATTTGAGTTAATAAAGAGAAGGTTATTATGAAAGTGATTTGAAAGGATTTGGACTTATGAAAAAAGTCAGGTTAATTTTAGGTAACGGTATTAAGTGCTTACAAGCACTGTGCTAAGTACTGGGGATCCAAATAAAAAGTGAGATGGTCTTTGCTCTCAAAGAGCTCACCCTCTAATTGAGGGAGATAACACATAAAGATAGATTTGGTTTACTGCAGATAAAAAGACAAGGTGGTATTTGAGACCTGACAGGGGAAACAGTAATTAGGAAACAGTGGTAGGATAGATGGTACCTGAAAGCCAAGGACCACAGTAGAGAAGTGTTTTGAGGTAACTACAGTCAAGGTGGGGTAGAGAAATTTGGGAAAATTGAAGAATTCTTTCCACCAGTTGAGGAAACTGTTTCCAAGTCCAGCTTCCGAGAAAGAACACTGAAAAGGAAGATTAAGGTGGGTCCAGGAAGTAAGGCCTGTAGAGCAAAATAGAAGGACAATGAAGTTGACAAAAGAGACTAAATTTAAAAAGTAAACAATTGTTAAGGTAAACAAATTGATAAAATACAAGCATAAGTAAAACTAATATTTCTAAAAAGCCAGAAGAAAAAGGGTATGGCTCTAAAGTTGCTTTTGAGATATAGGAAGGCATTTGGTGTGACTGTGGAGTTACTAAGAGATGTTGAAAGGGCATAGGAGATGATTTTGTAAACTCACAAGGCATTCCAAAAAATGAAGCTATGAAGATGGTAGAGTTTTAAAGTGACTTAAATTGGATGCTGTGTTTTTATTTCTGGTACAGCTAAGAGTGCTAGCAATATGTAGACAGTTCTACCTCCTAGAAGAGAAAATGAATGGACTGGAGGGATGCCTCTTCGAACTTCAGCTTGAAATGTCAATGAAATATGCCTGAAAGAAATAGAATTTGAGTCTTTAGTGGAGAAAATAAAATATTTGAAGAGGCAGAGGGGTAATTTTACACTAGTCAAGAAGTTGGAGAGCAGAAGAATGTCACAAATAAAGAACAGAAGGAAAAGAACAGCTGTATACACTTGGCACTAATAAATTTGAGACTCTTACTGAAGAGTAGGTCACTGGATGCCCTGAGGAGGTAGCAGCTGCTCTTTCTCCAAAGATTGATAAAGTAGGGCTACAGAGACTCTCAGGGTCAAAGGAAGAAAGAACTGTAATAGTGGTTGTGACCCCCTACTTAGGTATTATGGCAGATAACATGCTCAAGACTTAGCAAAACAAATGACTTCTATTTACCTCTAATAACTTACATGATATTGCCCAATTGAGAGTGAGGGATAAAAATTTGGAACTCAAAATCTTGTAAAAATAAATGTAAAACATTCTTTACATATAATTGGGAAAAAAATAAAATTCTATTAATTTTTTTAAAGTAGTATCCAGAACAACAGGGGAGATAATTTCTTCTTTATAATTCTGTAGTCAACCATATCTGTAGTATTGTTTCCTGTTCTGAGTACTGCATTTTATTTTTTTAATAATATTTTGTTTTTTCCCAATTGCATATAAAAACATTTTTTAACATTTGTCTTTTTTTTTAACGTTTTGAGTCATAAATTCTCTCCCTCCTTCCTTTGCCTCCCCACTCTCTGAAACAGTAAGCATTTGATATAGTTTATACAAGTTAAGTGCTACATTTTAGAAGGGATGTTATAAATGGAGCATGCGCTGAATACAAACAGCACAGTAAAGATTTCAAATCATGTGATATTAAAGAAACTTGCTATGTTTTTGCCCAGAGAAGAGAAGATTTAATGGTTACGTTATAGGAATCTTCAAATATTGATTTTCTGGTAGTAGTTTGAGTATTTACATACTGTAATTGAGCTGTTACTATTGTTTTATTTCATCCTCTGTAGCAGAATTGGAATTATTAGGTGAAAATAATTACATAGATTACAAGGTTGAATATAAGGGGAAAAAAACTTACTAGAAATTAAGCTATTTAATAATGGACTACTGTCTCAGGAGGTAGTAAATTCTTGGTAAGAGAAGGTATCAGGCATTAGCTAGAAGACCAACTTGCCAGGTATGTTGAAGATGGAATTCATGCTATGGTTAGTAGTTGGAATAGATGGCCTATGGAGTCCCTTCCAACTTTACCATCCAAGGATTCATTAATTCCGAATTTAGTGACTTATCAAAGTTACACAGCTGAGTCACGACCACCATTTGAGTTCTTTATTCCCAACTGAGTACTTTTTCCATTACTACAAAATTTAATGGCTTTCTTTTTTTTTTTAAAGGAAATATCCTTTTCCTTTAATACAGAATTGTAGCCATTGTTAATTTGAGTTTAGATTTATAAGTTTTTGACTTAGCATGCATGTAAATTATAGTTGACATCTTACAGTGATACTTTGAAGTTGAGTTTAAATTTAGGGAGGTTCTCAGATGAAAAGATTCTCATAAGTATTGTGTAGTGTTCTTTGTTTAATACTAGTACAAAGAAAATTACAGTTTGCAAAAGAAGAAGAAAATTTTTTTGGTGGGTAAAAGGGAGTCAGAGAGGCTTTAAGATAAAATTAGCATCTTAGACAAAGCAGTACATCTAATAAAGTCTGTCAAGAAATGGTCTTAAGTCAATAAAGAAATAATGAAAATGACATAATTTTGTTTCTTTTCTCTTGTAGTTGCTGTGCCTTGCTTGCCCTCTAGCATAACAATTTTAAATTTGTCACAAAACAAATTTACATGTATTCCAGAAATCATTCGCAGCCTTCCACAGTAAGTTTTACTTTGAATTTTAGAAAACAATTGAATTGGAGGCACATTCTTTTAAATATCAAAACCTACATATGCCCATTGTTTTTTGTATATGTAGATGTTAGCTTCAAGTAAACAAAAAGATGCTGATAATTAGTTGATTTGATGTTTTTAGTCTTCCTTCATTTCTTTCCAGCCACTTTCCTTGTACTCATTGTGGAGTTAATCCTTTCTGAGTTTACATCTTTGGCTTCATTTGACAAATTATATTTGGAGTTTTCTCCTTTTTACTCATCTCTCTCGGTCTCATTCTTGAACTTCAGCTTTGTGCTGGGGCCAGACGTTGCCTCCTTGTACTCATGAATATCATTTTTGGTACCTGACTTTTCTTTTTTTGGATGTTGATGTTGTGACTCTGGGTCAGGTGGGTAGGTGGCTGCTGGCTTTGACCCTGCCTCCATCTCCAGTCCTAGGGCAGGAGCTGGCTCCATCCCCTACTGTGACCCTTAATTCTCAGCTGAATGTTGGAGATCATGCTAGTGTCGGGCCTCATGGATGGGGCCTAGCATATGGTCTGCCCCTGGCACTTGGACAGGCAGGACCCTGTGCTCTCCCTGTGTCCTCTTATGACTGACAAGAGTGCTACCTTAAAGCCCCTTGAAGTCACCTATACAGATAGGTCTTGACGTCTACTGCTTTGCAAGGCCAGGGATGAAATAATGTTGGCTTCAGTCCCTGTTACTGGAGCTTGCACTGGAGCAGATTCCACCTCCCCTGTGGTTCCAGAGGAGATGGGAAGGAAAAAGAAAGCTCTCGAGTCTGACCAAATCTCCGTACTTATACCAGTGGTTACACAGTGCGCTGTAACCCTGATAATGAGGGGTAATAGCAACAACGTGACAAGCTTGATGAATAGCAGGGCTTCATGACCAGAACATGGATACTTGTTTGAGCTTATCTTGTGCTTCTCCAAATTCAAAGAACACCTCATGCTGGCCAAAGCTGTATAATAATTATGGGATTTCGCTGGAGGGTGAGACCATTCAGCGGGTGAGTACAAAGAATTGTCGTTATGCCAAGCTCAGGGCACAGCTTGCTTGCTGACCGTTAGCTCTGGAAAAGAGGGTGTCTCCTAATATCCTGACATTTCCCCTTTTTGGCCAAAGGGAGGGAGTCTGAAAGAACCCCTATCCTTCTGGCAACAAAGAGGCAGGTATAAGCCCAGATGCCACAAGAGTATAGTTGGGCCATGACAAGATGTTGCCAGGGGGTTAGTTCCTTGAGGGGACCTATTGGGGAAGTGTGTCCGAGCTGTCTATAGGAGAAGTGTGTCCCGTGTGTCATTGCTAGCCATTATTTGCTTTCAAGCAGAAGAGAGAGGGCCAAGAATATAGAGGGAGAAAATGCCAACACACTCTTGAATCAGAGCCTCAATGGCTGGGCACATAAACAAAAGGGAAGAGGAAAAAAAGCTAGGACACTATACTCAGCCTCCATCCAGAATCTTGGGACAGCTGTCACATCTGGATGTCAGCTGCTTCTGGGTCTGTACTAGATGAACCTTGAGGTCCCTGGAAGGTTCTGCCATCTACTCAGGATCAGGGATTTTCTTCAGATGATCCAGGAGCACACACCCACAAGTTTGGCAGTTACCTTTAATGTAAGCTCCCTGCATCAGTCTTTGAATCTGAGTTTCTGGTCAGCGTCATACAAGTCCTTAGTTAAGTGTCTCTAAACAACACATAGGGATGATCCAGTTTCCCAGCCACACAGGGCTGGGTTCAGACAATGAAATAATTTTCTCACAGTTCCCGTAATTACTAATTACATTAAATCAGGTACAGGTCAAACTACTTAGAGGTCTCACAATGGATTGGTTCTGAGAAGGGAGATTTATATGTCACTAAGGTAACGAAGAAAACTTAAACATAACTAAAGTCAAGTCTCCTTGCATTCTAGTGACACATCCTCAGTATCCATTTAACCAGCACATTTTGAGTCCCAGATGTCTTAGATATCTTTTCTTGGACAATATGCTTACTCTCAGGATATCTCTAAAATGGGCTCTGCTTCTCTGGTTCCAAATCTAGAGGTTCCTAGATAATTCTGTTAGTAATATCATTTACATTTAGTTCTCCAATTTTGAAACTTCAGAGAATTTCATTTCATACACCATTTATTGTTTCTGTCCTTACTTGATATGAGAATGTTTTAAAAAATTTATGAGGATCCAACTGCAAAATGAACTCTTCAGTCTTTTAAAATTATCAGACAGATATTTTAATAATGGGAAAATAATCACTTTCTTTACCATTATCTTCAATTGATGTGTAAAATCCAGTTTTGAGAACTTATTAACAAAACATGCTCAGAGTTTGAATTTCCATGATATAGACAAATTTGGAAGCTAATCATATAATCCTGTTGCTTTCTAAAAATTTATCATTCATTTATTTAGGATACTTTTACATTACATCATTGTCTTATTATCTTGTCTGATCATTTCCCCCTTAGGAGGATATCATCCCTGTATTAGAATTTGACTACAAATATAGGTTAAATTTGTAAGATGTTCATACTTGCATCCAGTATCAATCTATTATTTAATAGATTTAGTAATGTACTTAGAGAATTTCTTGATTATAGACATTTGGTTTTAAAAGGAAAAAGAGAGACATAGTTATAACAATGTCATGTATCATAACAGGGGAAAGCTCCCTTAGCTCTGTTTGGTTGCAGGCATGAGTGATATCTGACAGCCAATCATGTAGTCACAGGGTGTTAAAAGCAAGGTTTGGGATTAACCAGTTGGGAATTTTCCTTTTCAGAAAGGAAATAGCACAATGGAGAAATAGAGTCAGGAAGATCTTACCAAGACCGTGCCATGGTTGTCCCCTAAACTTTTCCCAGGTATAGACATCCACCTTTAGCAATTCCCAGACATGGTACGTGCCATTTTCTATTATTGGTTTCATGACAGTTCAGACAACTATCCCTGTAATCAAAACTCAAAACAATAATAAATTACAGTCCCAGGAATTTTTACCTTAAATACCAAAGTTTCACTCACCACAACTTAGAGCTTGAATAGCTTTCCTGATGTTTTCCTAACAATTAACATTTAATTTATCCTTTACTTATAAATTAAAACTACCCATATTTTGGGGCTTCAGACATATAGCAAATACCTGGTAGTTGACTCATTGTTAATATGCTGAAACTACATCTTTGAAATTTTTGGCTATTATGAAACTACATTGGCTATTTTGAAACTACATCTTGAAATTTTGGGCTATTATGAAAGTGTATTCCAGGAGCACACACCCACAAGTTTGGCAGTTACCTTTAAGGTAAACTCCCTGCATCAATCTTTGAATCTAAGATTCTGGTCAGCATCACATAAGTCCTTAGTTAAGTGTCTCTAAACAACACACCTATACATTTTCATAATAGCCAAAAATTTCAAGTGAAAATTTGCTATTATATATTATTATTATCTGCTTTATAACAAAATATACCTCATTAATATTTAACAGTTTTCAGATATCTTTTTTAAATCATATACTTTTAAAAGTCCAACTCATGTATAACAGCATCCAGATTAAACAGTTGTTTTGTCTAAAAGCATTACAGTGGTCTCAAATTTTACAACATAAGAGAATTCAGAAATACAATAATAACATAAACAATATCATGTTTTTAAAACATAAAACAAAACTTCAGGTGACATCAATTGCATTATCTCATATAAAATCATTAATCTTATTACCTTTGGCATTTTAAAACAATTTTAGCGTTATTAGGTATGGAACAATTAAATTTGCTTAAAGAAATAATGTAGTGCTTAGCATATGCCAGTCACTTTGTTAGCACTTTACACTCCTTATATCATTTTGATCTCGCAGTAACCCTGGGAAATGGGTACTATTATTATTTTTCTCTTTATAGACCAGGAAACTGGGGCAGAGATAAGATAACTTGCCTGAGATTACACAGCCAATAAATTTCTGCAACCAGAATGTAATTCAAAGTTCTCTATATTTTTCTAGCATTTTTTTTCAACACCTTTATTTGTGAATCTGATCTGGGATGAGAGGGGTTAAAAGGGAGAGGGTCTCTTGACCTGGGGGAGTCACAGAAGTCTCTTTGGTTTAAACAATCTTTTCTCTTTTCTTGGTCAGAAATGTTAAAGTAGGGTTTACAAGAGGTTGCTGTAAAGTGCAAACCATTTACCTATTCTTTTTTCTTTCTTCACTCTGGGAGTACTTCCAAATTAGCTCCCTTCCTTCATTGCCATAGAACAATGAAACTATTAATCTTTCCATTTACTTTTAACTTTCATAAAATTTAATCCTTATTTTTCCGTAAAACAAATTCTACAGTGATAACCCAAAACTTTCTGAGATATTTCAGAAGGGAGTGAGTTCCTGGAATTACCCCAGAATCTCAGGAGTTCTCTCCTGCAGCCTCAAATATTATAAGTCTCTGAATCTCCAGAATCTGCTTAGATGTTTTTAGCAGTTCTAGGGATTTTGATTATCTGACTTTATGTCTGTAACTCCAATATAGCCAAAGCCAAAATGACAGGAAAAAAAAAATGTCTTGCAAATTTTTTCTCTTTTATTATAACCTAATCTCCCTCAGAAAGCCTAAAGTGGGAGTTAATTCTGCTTACTGAGACAATTGCTTCAACTGTGAAAGTTCATTAATCTTTCCTAGTGTTCTTTCTGGCTATAGCCCTTAGAAGTTTTTCAGACTGACTTCATTTTAAATCTTTCAAAGTAACAGAATCTAACTCACAACACAAACATAACACAGACATTTTACATTTTGCAAAGACACAAGCAGAGACAAAAAGACAAGACAGATACAAAGAGACACAGATAGTTTTAACAAAGCACACAGTTATAATTCTAATTTTACGGAGGCATACAGTTACTGAGACAGGCAGTTTTTAAAAAGCAGAGGCCAGTTAACAGAGGTGTGCAGTTTAAGAAAGCATATCCTTACCAGAGTGATCT